TGGCAAAAACCTCAGCTGCAGGGGCCACCAACCTCCCGCCATGGGTTGAGGTAAACCCCAAAAGAGACTGAGATGCTTCCAGATTAATTGCTTTCAGATGATATTTACATAAAAGTTGGGCATTGAAACAAAGGCCAAGATATCTAAAATTGTGTAGCTGCTTGATGGGTTTACCATCAAGCTTCCATGTATGGAATTTCTTCTTCTTTCCAAAAAACTACAACTTTAATTTTGGTGTAATTGATGTTCAGAAGTGCACAGGTCAGATTCTCTTGCACAGAATTTGCTCAAATTGGTCAAACCCTGCCTGTTCTTTTACTATTACTTTTCAACAGCTCAGGGCTCTAATTTGCCCAATAAATATTTGGAGTCCAGTTTAAGAGACTACATTGAGAAGTCTGATGGGTCTAAAATTGTTTGGGTCAGCTTTTGAGCCTCTTTGGTGAATAGGGACGATTATGCTTACACCCTAGCCCTGAGGTATTTCCCCATGTACATGAACATTATAGCAAGCACTGGACACCGTCAAGCGGTATTTGACTTAAACAACTCTCCTGGGAGCATATCTTCACCAGGGGCTTTGTTACTGGGCAAAGGGCTGATCAAATCATTTATTTCATCTGGAGTGACTGGGTCCCCAGTCAGGGCAAAATGAGAGAGAGAGAGCAGAGCCATACAAAAAGGTGGTTCTGATTTAGTCCCAGAAATGGTGTGACTATAAAGAGCTGAGAAATGGGCTTGCCATTGTGAGGAGGGCATTTGATTGTCTAAGGCAGTGGTCCCCAACCTTGGGCCTCCAGATGTTCTTCAACTATAACTCCCAGAAGACTTCACCACCACCTCTGCTGGCCATGATTTCTGGGAGTTGCAGTCCAAAAACATCTGAGTAACAAAGGTTAAGAACCACTGGTCTAAGGTACCAGAATAAGTGTTCGTTCCCTTTGACACTAATGACCAAAACCTGGCCGTATCTCTTTTCAAAGCTGCTGCACCTAACTCTAACCAAGATTTCCTTAGGTGTTCTTCCTTCTTCTGCCAAAGCAAGATTTTATATTCTCTGCGGAGCTGAACACAGGAAGAAAAGTTTTCTTATGGATCCTCCAGCCTCAGTCTCCTCATTGCTCCTGCCAGGATACATTTCTGGGTGGCACACTGGGCATCAAACCATCCCTGATAGCACTTTCTGTCTGTGCAAGGAGGCTTAGAAACAAGACAAAAAAAAGGTTTAATTACTTTAACGACTTTTGTCAAACATTTCCAAAGGGTTGGGGGAAGTAAAGAATTGTTCTCTTAAAAATAAGAGATTGGGAGACATTAGAAATAAATTTATCTGTTCTTGTAAATTTCCAGTCCATCACAACTTTCTCCATGAACTATCACATTTTCCTTACATGGCATTATTGTTAATGATTTTCTGATTGATAAAGAAAGTGACAGTTGAATTGGCATATGATCGCTTTCGGGCCTACTAAGAACTTTAAAATGGCCAAAGAACGGCAATACCAAATGTGAAAGAACCATATAATCTATCACACTTGCAATGCAAAAAATGATTGTGCATAGGCTGCAGTTGATTTTTAGAAAGATAAAAATCTTTATTGGCTCACCAAAAAGATACAAATATGATGAATATAACTGTACATTAAAAAAAACATGAAGACAAAGAAAAGCGATAAAACAGAAAGGCAATATATACATGCTGCAATTTAGGAGGGTGCTAGATTTTCTTTTGTATCCAAATTTCCTTTTATTTCTTGTTTCTTCCACTCTTTTCTGAAGCAAACCAACCAACCAACCCAAATCCAGCTGTTATGCAGTCTTCTCCCAGTCAGGAACTGGAGAGGGGAGTCTCCTGCTCATTCTAAGATTTTGCTCATAGACTCTAGCAAGGAAGATGGAGGGGGCCTATCTTGCCCTGCAACCTGGTAATAAGAGTTCATAATTTGTAGTTTGGGCTGTGAGTGATACAAATCGCCAGAGCCTTGCAGTGTTATTTTGTACCTTATTATTGCACATATGCATCCGAGTCAGCTTTTTGCATAACAGTCTGGTTCCATTACAAATGTACTTCCCAGCAGTACTTTTTCGTTTTTCTCATGGAGGGAGGAGTCTGCGTGGTGGAAATAGCAGCAAATGAAAGATGATGCGGGTTAGGTGGGGATTAACAGCAGCAACGAAATTAATTCACAAGCACTGATGTAGTGAGGTGAAGGTCACAAGCCCCGGAACTTTCTGACCTTCTTTGCCATGCCCTTTGACCTCTGTTTTTTTCTGGACTTAACCACATTCCTCACAAGACCTGGGAAAGAACTTGATTTTTCCAGGAAGGTTGTACTGTTGCAAGGTATCTCTGGTGTAATGTGAAGTGTTTGGGAGTTATTTGGTTTTGAATGGGCAATTAAGACCCTTTCTCTCTACAAAAGACTTGCTCATCATCTGTCCATCGACTGACCCAGGCGCCAGCATTTGTGGACCCTCCTTGGGATGGGGCTGTCTGTGGGGCCTGTCCAAATTTATCACTATACTGTATCACCTCCTATGAGTCCTGTTTCTTCCCGCTTTCCAGGACGGCTTACTCAGAGTTGGATGAACTTAACAGGAAAAGAAGAATATAACGGGGAGGGGAAAAAAAGCCTGAAGAAGATGAACCCTAATAGAACAACAACAAACAAACAAATAAATAAATAAATAATCTAATAGAACAAACTGAATAATCGCTTCCCCAAAACGTCTCTGTTTCGATCACCCTCACAATCCCAGTCCATCCCCAGGAACAAAGGGTGAGCGCTCAGCCACGCAGTCTCGAGATGGATGAAGTTCTGCGCCCTAATCTTCCTCGTTACTTGATTGGCGGAGTTTTTGGATTTTCAGACCAATAGCATTGTAGAACGTCTCTCATCTCAAATTCATACTAGTTTTTTTTTAAAACCCTCCGACTCAGTCGGGCTCAGCCCAGAACGCGCGCGGACCGGATCGTGGGCGCCTTCCTTTCGGCTGTCTGTCGATCTGCAGCGCTTTCGGGGACTGCGCTTAACCTAAAGCCCCGCTCGGGCAGGCGGGGGGGGGAGGGTCTCGGGCGTTCTCTCCTGGCGCTCAAAGCCTTTCTCCGGCGGGTTCCACCTGTTTGTCCTCTGTCCCCGCCCCCGCTTTGGAATAGGGGCGGGGTCTAACCCTTACTCCGGGATTCCAACCCGGGGACTTGGCGCTCCCGCAGGGAAAAGGCTTGAAGCGAAACCCGGCGTGGTCCTCCGCCGCCTTTTGCCTTCCCTTCCGAGGCGTGACGCGGGTAGCGTTCTCACCCGATTTCCCTTAAGAGGGGGTGGAGAAGGGCGTGGGGGAGAAGAATAGGAACGGCGAAAGGGGGTCGGCGCCGAAGGACCGCGGTGTTTGTCCAGGGGCGCCGAGGGAAGGGCTCTGGGCTCTTGGATACGGAGTGGGACCCAGCGGGAAGGAAGAGACTGGGGGGGGGGCGGGCTGCGGGCCAGTGGCCCTCGGGGAAGTCGCAAGGAGGGAGACATCGCTGGAGCTGTCAGTTACTTTGTCACTGATTGACTGATTGATTATATTTGTACCCAGACGTTCTCCTTAAAAAGGAACTATGGTGTCTTAACATCATTAAAAGACAAGTATGTAGTGCCCAAAGCTAAAAACAGTAAGGCTACAAGTACTAAAAAGGATAAAACAAATGCCAGCATAAAAAGTGGTAAACAAAACCACATTCAAAGCAACAAAGAAAGGATAAAACAAATGCCAGCATAAAAAGCGGTAAACAAAACCACATTGAAAGCAACAAAGCACAACAATCCATTTAAAATCCCCACTCAGGCGACCATTCGCTGGCCTGAAGAGAAAAATCCCTTGCTGCTTGCAGAAGGATGGCCAGTCTCGCCTCTTGTGGGAGGGAGTTCCAAAGTCAACAGAGCAGCAACAGAGAAGGCCCTGTCCCGTACCCTCTCCAAACACACCTGCGAAAGTGGCAGGACTGAGAGAAAGGCCTCTCTTGATGATCTTAACATTTTGAGCAGGCTCACAATGGGAGATGCAGTCCCTTGACCCAAGATGTTCAGGACTTTACCGGTCAAAACCAGCACTTTGAATTGTGTCTGGGAACAGTTTGGCAGCCGGTGGAGCTGTGTAATGGGGTGGGTCGGTGGGTCATGTGATCCCTGTGTGACCAGCCCCAGTCAGCAATCTGGCTGCTGCATTTTGGACTGTTGAGGTTTCCTGACACTTTCTAGAGGCAGCCCCACATAGAGCGTGTTATAGTTGTAACTCCTACAAATATCCCAGCCAGCACAATCAGTGATCATCTTGCCTTGATTATTCTGGAGGCTGTAGCCCAAAAGCATAACAAACACAGAGACATTAACCGCAATCTTCTCGGACTAGGAGGGGAGAGATGCCTAAGTCTAAGGCTATTTTTCCATCACCCTTTACATGTTCCATTGCACTAGTGACAAACTTCCAGTATCAATTTGTCTCAGGCTTAAGCAGATTTCACCAAAGCTATTTACTGTGTTTACTTTCAAGTAAGTGTGTTTAAAATTGTAGCCATGCATTTTCATTCTTCCCTTCGCCCTAACACACCATTTGTATCTAATTATTGGAAATGCTTATGTAGTGCCCAAATGGCAAAGCTTTCAAGGCAGTTTACAAATAAAAACACACATTGTAAGCACATATAAACAGTTGCTACTCACTCAGTACATTCTCTTCCAGACCCTACTTTTTCCTTTTCTTTCCTCTCTGTTGTTCGTTGCCCTTTTTCTCTTTGCTACCCTTTCCCTCCTCTCTTTCTCGGATCTCCTACTTTTGCCTCCTCCAATACCAAGGATTTACCGCCTTGTTGAGAATCTCCAGCTTGAGGAGGACAAGAGAGAAATAGGCCTGAAGGTCCGGTGGTGGATCACAGTGAGCACATCTTTCTGAAAGGTGCTGTGCTACTTTTGCATCCACACGACAGACTGACTAACCGTCGTTCACTCCCCCCCCACACACAGGTCTTTGTTTCCAGTCATGTGTACCTTTGACAGCATCCGTACGATGATTGAGATGACTAGACGGAGACTGAGGAGATCTCGCACTCTGGATGAGATCAGGAAAGATGCTTCTTTTTTTTATCCCCCTCCCGATGGGGGTTGGGGTTGGGTTGTAGTGCTGGCAGCATCCATCCATTCGTTATTTGTCAGTGGCTTCCACAGTGCCTTTGGAGTTTATATGCTGCCCCTTCTTCAGGCCTTTGAGTCAACCAGCTCAAAGATTGGTAGGTTGCCATGGTATTTTGATGGAATCTGGCAGGGAGTGAGAACCAGGACTATATATTTGCAGTGAGATCTTATAAGGTGTTAGGGAGTTCTGATACCTTATAAGCCCTTACTGTACCATTTAACCATGGGCTTAAGAAATAAACAAAATAATCGCCCTATTTGACTGTTCAGAAGCAATCATAATACTAACCAGGCCTATGGTGTGGAGGTGCAGGAGGGCCATTTGATCTGGGCCTTACCTCACAGGGGTCTCCATTCAGCCTAAAGTGTAAATTTAAAGCTAAATAAAATGTTACTGTCATGCATGCAATGATATATACCATTTTATGTATACCATTCTTTGCATTAAAATAGTTTTTACCTGTCTTTTCAACAGTGAGGAGCCTCAGAATGTGAAATGGCGTAGGCCTTATCTGAGCTTTCTGAACTGCTGGATAGCTCAGTGTTTAAGGCATCTGGGTGCAGAGTTCGATTCTCCCCGGTGCCTCCTTGACAGGGGCTGGACTCTGTTATCCATAGGGTCCCTTCTAGCTCTGCAGTTTTAAGATTATAACATAGACAAAGGAAAGGTGAGGCTGTAGCTTTGACCCAAATGTCATGCCTGAGACACAAGCCTACGTCAGCTCCAGCCTCCACATTCCTATCTGTAAAAGGGAAGTCTGCGTGGAAAGAAATGGAGCTGTTTTTACTGTTTTAAATGCATGGGCCTTCATTCTACATATATTTGTAGTAAGAAGGGGGAGCCTAAGTATGACAGGTGCAACATCAAGGGATAGGGCTTCATGGTGTAACTCTGCTTCTATGTTTTTTAGGATTACCAGGTTCCTGAATACCCAAATGGGGCAAATGTATCTCATTTGGAGAAATGGCTCCCCATACATTTCATAGATTGGAATAATTAAAATTTGTGGAGCAAGGATAGCAATAATTAATTATATCAAACAGTGATATATAACCCTTTTTCTCCATTTAATGACCACTGTTTGCCTTTTTTTTAAAGCTTGGATTGGATCTGTGAGCTATGCTTTCATTATGATATTTGGTCCTGTTTCTGGAAAACTTCTGGTGAAGCATGGAGCAATCAAAGTAGCAATAATTGGAGCACTCGTTGTCATGTTTGGTATGGTGTGTTCATCCTATACCTATGATTTACGAGTACTGTTCCTAACTCAAGGAATCATTGTTGGTATCGGATCGAGTCTAGCTAGCACTCCAGGTAATCTAGTTTTACTTCCTTGTGAGTTGAGTAAATCAATAGCCAAAATTAAAATCTAAATAAATTAGTTACATTTTCCTGAAAAGTTCAGGATTTTGTTATAAGCATGTATTCAAATTAATTATTTATCAAAATTATGTTTTAAAGCTACTTTTAGAGGTGTTTTTATCTTCATGCATATTTTAGACTCCATTTATCTTTTATCAGTTGCTTTGGTAGTTTCAGAGTCTGCTGTTGTAAACTGTATTTTCTTCTGTATTTTAGTTGTATTCGTATTTAAATTTGTATTGCATGATTTTATTTATTTCATTATATAAATTATTCTATATGCCTTTGCCCTCGGAGTATAGAATAATTAGGACAGACTGACTGACTGACTGACTGACTGACTGATTGATTGATTGACTGACTGATTCAACATGAATTAAAAGGTTGTTACCAGAGAGAAAAGATAATAGATAAGGCACAAAGCAAGTTTCCTGGAGACAGAGTTCTAGAAGCTTCTTTCATTATTAGTTTACCATTTTAATAGGTCCATGTGGATATGGGCTTCTTGTGGTATCCTGATCCTAAGCAATTTAAGGCTTTGAAAATGAAAAACAGGATACTGAAATGGGCCTGGACATAGACTGGGAAGCCTACTAAGAAGTCTTCCATATACCCAGTCTCAGCTGGTATGAAAGACAGTAGCTAGGTTTCCAGATGTATTTCCAGACTATATTCAAGGGCAGGCTGTTAGTGAACGCATTGCATAGTCTAAATAGGATGTTGAAGGATGATTACAGTTATTTCAGCAAAGATTTATATCTTCTCTCAGGCTTAGTATGTTTTTGATGTTTATTTAATGTACATTTTTCAGTGCCTTAACTTTTTAAACATTGTTTTATGGTTGCTTTTTACCTGTTTTATTGTGGGGGCTGCTATGTGAAATCTTGTTACAGGGCATAAAAAGATTATTAATAAAATAAACATGTAATGCTTTAGAATTTTTTGACTTAGTAGATAGGCAGAATAACATAAATATGTAAATAAATACTCCTTCCCCTCCAAAGTATGACTAACTAAAAACAAGATATTAGTGGCAGAAGTGTGTAGGTTTTCAGTGTGGTGAGATCCAAGAGTGAGTTTCAGACTTCCACAATTGTCTTTACTGTATGCAGAACCTCCCAATCTCCTTTCACAGACTAGTTTCTTTTGTGAATGAAAAAAAGCGGCGTTTAAAAGTGAATGGACTCAAGAGTCTTTTTGACTGGGCCAAGGATGCACTTGGTCCCTTCCAGGCTCTTAGATTTCCTTGTTATTTAATGTACATATAGAAGTGAAGTGTGTTAAGGTTGTATGCACTATGCACACAAATTGTGCTAACATGCCACTATGCATCTTTAGCCCTTGTGAAAAACTCCTGTGGAAACCCTTGAATTGCATGTGATTTTTAATATTTTTATTGCCATCTGTTCCTCATAGGCCTGATAATGGTAAGCCTTTACTTTACTACAAAGCGCTCATTTGCAACTGGGATTGTCATGGCTGGAGGAGCTGCAGGAACCTTTGTACAGAATAAACTTCATCAGTACTTAATTGACAAACTTGGATGGAGAGTTAGCCTACGGGTATACAGTGGAATCCTAACTATATGTATTTTTGCTGGATTTGCATACAAGCCTCTTCAAAAACGTATGTAATTGCTTTTGGCCAATTTGTTGGATTTCCTTCCTTCCTTTTTATGATAGTCTTCCTGTAGACAAGTTATTCCCATTAGGGCAGCAAGATTAATCCAGCTCCTTTAAGCAGAAGAGAAATTTTGGCAAGTGCAATGTCTCATTCAAAATTAAACAAAGTTACACTTGCTGAAACTGCTTTTTGGACTTTACTCTTTAAGATGCCCTCCGCTAAATGCAATCATCACATTTTGCAGTCAGCTTTCCAAGGTTTTTTCCCCCTCATCTTTCTCTTAATTTGTAACATGAACCTAGAATCATCTTGATTGCATAACTGTTGGCTTGGTAGTCAAAGTGAACAATACATTTGTCAGGAATTTTACATAGATGCTCACCAGGGTATGAAAGAAATTTGCTTTTCACCGGGAATGATTTTTCTTTCCCATGTAACTTGTATTTGTGTTTATTGTGTGCCATTAAGTCAGAACTGATCTATGGTTACCCTAATAGGGCTATGAAAGTAAGTCATGTATTTAAAGAGAGGTTTTACTAATTTTACTCCTCCCTGTGAGGTACTTCTTATCTTGGGCACTGGAAAGGCTTATGATATCCCCGAGAAGGGGATGTGGAGGAGAGGAGAAAAGGATAAGCTATTAGAAACAAGGATGATGAAGAAGTAGGTTGTGGATACTGCAAGTCTTTAATGTCAAGTTACTTATGTTTGTAGGGCTTAGGCCTCTCTTAGACTATTCCTTCTGGGGCAGTTGGGAGGACAAAAAAAAATGCTACTCTATTTTTAGACTCCATGAACAGTAATTCCATGTTTGTAGGGCTTAGGCCTCTCTTAGACCATTCCTTCTGGGGCAGTTGGAAGGACAAAAAAGAAGAATTGCTACTCTATTTTTAGACTCCATGAACAATAATTCATTCTAAAATGGTGCACAGGGCCCCATACCTTATTCTTTCCACCCCCTAAAAATTATTACCAAACTGGAAATGGCCACTTCTGGCTTTTTGGGGGCAGGGGAATGTTGCAACCTGTGATAATACCATGGGAGAGAATATTAACATTGGGCCCCTATAGGGTATTTGCTATTGGCATAGTGTAATGCTTGCAGAATCAGACAACCTTCTGATTAATTTCAGTCTTTCACACATATCACATCTCTGCATATTGGCTGTTTAATAAATGTAATCTTGTATGACTGATTAAAATACTTTATTGTATTTATTCCTTTATCCTGGTGGGATGCTGATATAAATAACGACAATGCTTGCTTTTGTTTACTTTTATATTTTAAAGATAGAGCTCATCCAAGTGTAGTTGAAAAGTTTAGAACATCCCCATTAAGACGTTTTATTGTTGATTTAAGTTTGTGGAAAGATCGTATCTTTGAAGTTTGGGTCTCTGCGCTTGGACTGGCTAAATTTGGGTTCTTCATACCTTTTGTTCATATGGTAAGAATTCATTTGTACATTCTGATTATCTCTGATAATCTGTTGCAGAGATTTGAATTTTTGGTTAAATTTAGCTGCACAGCAGAAGTTTAGGGATTCACAGAACAGATTAGCTTCCAGTTCCCTAATAAAATCCACCCCTTTCCTCATCAACTGGCACTTACTGTTTTACTCTAAAACTTTGTGATGAGAAAGAATCAAAAGGTTTCTTTTACTTACAGTGAACAGATAACAGCAAACTGATGAATATAATTGCTTTTTGGAGCAGACCTCAACAGACTCTAGAGAGAGAACATAGGTTGATATGTGTTGATAATAGTCAATTATATCTCTCTACTCTATATCCTCTTGACAGCCCAGTGAAATCCCTAGAAAAGCTAGACCATGTAGCTTGGTTTAAAGAAAATGTGGCTGTTGAATATGGATAGTAAGATTGATATAATTCCAGGAAATATTATTTCCATCTTTGGAATGCTTCTGGAACAGGTATTTTTGCCAGATGGACAGATGGTAGCACGGATAAAGGAATTCTTTCTTCACCTGTACTAACCGCACTAGCTGTGCCGTTGTCTGGAGAACAATGATCATGTCAGGAGAATACACACTGTGGTAAAGTCTTGACCACATAGGAGGACTGTCTTTGATAAGGACTTGGAAACTTACATTGCTTCAAAATGTGTTGGCAATATTCTTAACATATTGTGACAGCAAAAATTATTTTAACTGTATGCATTAGTTACTAGTTTTCCTCTGGGCCAATTCAAAGTAATTTTTTACAGTTCTACTAAAACGAGACCAAGTTATCTGAGGAGCACCTGCTCACATTAGTTTCTCCATGTGATCCGAGGCCATCTGAAAAAAGGGTCTGCTTACTGTAGATGTTCCATATCTAGTAACTCACAGCTCATACATTCTTTGCATTACCATTTTTTTTGGAAGCTCTATCCCTGGAATAGTATATTTGGCACCACTGTGAGCTTCTTGAAACATGCTCAATTTTTTTTCACTGAATAGAAGAATTAGATTTTGAGGGCTTGACTGGACAGGAAGTTCTCCAACAAATAAGCATGAATGGTGATAGTTTATTCTGAAGGGGACTGGGTCTTACTGATATCCGTGTCTACACTGCATTTCAAATGTCATGCCATTGAAAACTGCTTCTTTAGGCTTTTCAATAAAGAAATCCTTACAAATTCCCTTCTTCAATGTAGCTTTCACTTTGGGGGTTCCTTTTCCTTTGACCATTTGAAAATGCCAAGTGTAGAGTAAATTGAAGGCCTCCAGTTGGAAGTATATGGCACAGAAATGAGCTCTCCGTAGGAGACATTGTAGTTGTCTGTAACAAAATAATACCAGTCTCCCAGGAAGAAGGAAAAAACATGGAAGGCAGAGAAAAAGGTATCTTCTTAACATGGAAGGCAGAGAAAAAGGTATCTTCTGATTTGTATTCTTTCACTGAGCAGAGGCCCCTTCCAGATTCATTATTCTATGAGTCTGTGATATAAAATCTTGTGTCATCTTGTCAGCAGGGAAAAAACTGAAATGATTGGTGTTGAATCTGGTACTTTTAATTCCACCCGGAATTTCCTTTTCTGTTCCTATCACTTAGGCCCCAGCTTTAACCAAAACCACAAATAATCAAAGTGGTATGTGAATAAGCAACAATAAAACACCCACCAGTAGGGTACAGAGGAGGAGAAGGTTGATGGTTCTTCAATGATTATGGCATGACCTCGGCTGACTGCATGCATGCATGTATGTTTGGTTGGTTCTTAGCAACATACATTTAAACACCACATCACTTTCAAAGAACTTTCACAGTACTTAATGATCTGGCTAGCTCAATTGTAATTGTCTCTTCTACTAAATATGACTGTTTTTCAGAAATACAGACACATAAGGCAAATCAATATATAAATAACAACTGAGTTTTTATTACAGATTAAACTTGCAGGTGACTTGGGCATTCCACCTGATGATGCATCCTACATTATGGTAGGAATTGGAGTAAGCAGCATGATTAGTTGTCTTATTTTTGGAAAGCTATGTGATATTGAAAAAATTGATCGGCTTTATCTTAACCAGGCATCCATATTATCTGTCGGTAAGTGCTTAGCTTAAGGTTCCATGACCCTGCCAATAACAGTCTGTTAGTTCAGGAATAGGATGTTTTTAATATGTGCATTAATGTGCTTTGGTTACAACTCAGAAGTGTAGAATTCTTGGAATTGTAATTCGAAGCAACAAATATGCACATCTCTACATTTCGTATAGTGGCCAAAATCCTTTTGCTTAGCATAGTAAATCACACTAGAATAGACCCATTGAATCAATGGGGATTTAGTGAGCTACTTTGGCACAGTAAGTTGCAGTTAAAGTGGGCTCATTGAATCAATGAAACATATGGAGGAGGTGACAGATGATTCAGTGACTCTAGTGTGATATACTAAATTAAGCAACAGGATTTGGACCAATGTATCAATAATTTTCAGGACTACAAAAAAGCTCCCCCCCAAAAAAACCCAAGCGTATTTCAGCTTAGCACTGTGCCTGAAGTTAACGACATTCTCCTTCCTCAGTCTGATCTAGCTTGAGGTTGTCTGTCTACGTATTGCCAGAGACTGAAATGTTAATAGGAAAAAAAATGTAACACAGTTCATTAGTTATTAGCAAGCTCAAAAATCTCACAGAGTTGATCTTATATTAATTACTAACTGATGTAAAAAAACCTGACAGGACAGATGGCATGTAATACATTGACTGTAAGTGCCACATTTTGTTCTAAAATTGCTTTGGGGTCTCACAACCTCATCACTGGTTGGATGTGTAGGATTTATAATGCAGTGTATCTGGAAAACACATAAATTAATTTTTTTAAAAAATAAAGCATCATATCTCACACCAGTAAAATTCACTTTCATCACTGATCTTTTCTTTCCTCTCTCTTCCCCCTGCTCCTTGTATATGCTCTTCACTCACCTTTCAACCACCAAGCATTATTTGAGAGAGAATGTGATAGTCTGGAAAAATCCTGCCAAAATGTTAAAAAAAAAAAAACCTTTTGGAAATGTCCTTATTAATTCCAAAACGTTACCAAAACTTATGTTACTTGGCCCACCGTTCACTTGTCTGTTGACTCAGGTCTACCACTAAGAGATCATTTTGAGATTGCTCATAAGATTGTGAGGTGTTTACCTTTTAGGCCTCATAGGTCGTTAAATATTGTCCACCCTATATTAAAATGAAACCAAACCAAGCTCTACCATAACTCAGGCAAGGGAATCATGAGGAAAAGCAGCTGGCTAAATTAGGTTTTGAGTTGAGAACCCAAAGGAAACTGATCCTGGGACTGCAGGCTCAAGATCAGGACCATGGATAGCAATCCTTCAGCAAAGATCTTAAAAAACCCTTGCCCTGGCACTGGCTTACCCTCTTTCCTGACCAGACTATAACTGTGTTATTTGCTAGTCCGTGCCTTAAAGAAACAGGCCAGGGAAAGCCCCTCTTCCTCAAGTGCTGATGCTTTTAAAGGCCCAGTACCCATTTCTATAGATACTGATGATTCTTAGTGTTCTTCTGAGCGTTTGACTTCTCACTGGAAAACTACGAGAGCCACTTTTTGCCACCAAATGCTAGCATTACTTCCCAGGGACTGCTGGTGGAGACCTCATTCTCTTAGCGCTTTCCATCTTATATTATAAAAACAAGAAATCCGTAAAAGTTTGTCAACCTCTGGCCTGGCTTTTGAGCTGCTAGGGCACACACGGCTTATGATGTCAACATCATACACCGATACACTTCTGGAATTAAACCACAACCAGAATGTTTTGCCATATGTTGTTGAATTGGATGATACATAACTGCTTTATTGGGTACATTCCACTGAATGGCACTAATTATTCATCAATGGTGGCATTCTTACCTGGTACAAAGCATTGTAGCAGAACCTCACAATTAAGATAAAAATGAGTAATTTTTTTTTTAGCCTGAGTGGAGAAAATTGTTGTGCTGGGTCACAAGGAGAATCCTAACTTTGTAGTAACTTTTAAAGTGCATAACTGGTGCAATAAAAAATAAAATAAAAATAGAACTGGCATATGAGTCTCTTTGGCCACGTGCTCCCCTTGAGCCCTGATTCTTTGGGAGTGTTGTCCCTGGGTAGCATTTGTGAGCCCATCAATGCTGGCGTTCCTCAAAACATGGCACATTTACCCCACATGACTCGAGAGGGTGTTCTTGAGAGAAAAAAGTTTTGTTCATAGAAATCTGAAAAATAGCACTTAGCTCTTCTGAGATTGTCCTTCTCTTCATTGGAGAAATGACCAATAATCATGACTACACTGCTTCTGGTGTGTGTCTGTTTACTGAAAACTGATATATTCAATAGGATAGAAATCACAGCTTTAATGTTTAAGAATGAAAAGAGCAATGGTCATTGGTTTTATAGAGAAGCTTATGAAACATTTAAACCTATACATGGCTTTTTATACCAGATCATAGTTGAGGAGCAAATGGAGTACAGATTGTAGAAGTATTCCCCCCCCCCCAATTGTATTAATTTTCACATCCTCCTCCCCTGACTCCCTGATGTGGTGGAGTATTAAGCCCAAAACATTTTTTTAAAAAATTAAATGACAACTCCTCAAATTCCCTCATGAACATGATCAAGCCCCAAAAGTAAATTTTCCACCTTTGGCTAGCTTAAGTGGAATTTTTACTTTTTCAGTAGCATATTCCTGTACTACAAACTGCTTAGGAAACTGTATTGTGTATAAATAAAAAAAGTACTGTGTCATATTGAGGAAGGTTTGCTGCTGTTGAAGAAAAGAAATTTTGTTGAGTAAGCAGAAAAGTGCTTGTAATACTGGCGATTATGTCAAAGTCACAAGTAATAGAATAACAAACTTTTTTTTCCATAAAAAAAATAACCCCGTGCCCTTCAATGTAATTTTCTGTTTTTTTTTTCCAGGTGTGGTGTACTTCATTATTCCTTACTGTACAACCTTTGCCTCTCTAGTAGCAATTTGTTCTCTTCTGGGGTTTGTAGATGCAGGAAACTATGTTCTCCTACCTGTCCTTACTTTTGATTTGATGGGGGAAGAGAAAATGCCTGTTGCCTGGGGATTTATGATGGCTGTGAATGCAATTAGTTGTTTTGGACCACCCTTTGCAGGTAAACCAACATGAGCCCATCATTTTTATGAATAATTTTAACTTGGCATTGTTAGCATATTCAGAAGGGCTATTTCCGTTACGCTTCCTTGCCGAATAATCTTGCATTGCTTATCCCATGTTTGTCTTTTACAGCAACAGAAGGAGAAGCACTCTTGTTCTTAAAATCTGTTGCATCTGTCACTGTAACATAGAGGCTTCCCAGAGGTACAATCTGGCATAAAAACAAAATGCACATTCGAAGTGTGCTTTGTTGTAATGAAAGGTTGCCCACCTCTGTCCAACAATATTATAGTACAATGTGGAATAAATTTTTTCTTTGATCAAGGAAGTATAAAAAGTAAATAAAAGTTTTTCTTTCGTTTTCTCTTTTGTTTCAGGTGCAATGTACGACGCATTTGGCAGTTATACCATTGGCTTTGTAGTAACTGGGATTGGCAACATTGCAGCAGCCAGTATACTTGCTTTTATTCCATGGTTGAAAAATGAAGCCAAACAAGCAAAGAAAAACTATCTTAATGCTTCTGTGTGCGAAATAACAAAGACCATTGTTCCGTGGCAATCACCAACTCCTTCCTTAGGGGTGAATACTACTGTTCTGGAATCTATATGTGTATTTTAAACAAGGTGACTCCAGCTTTGCCATAGTATCCTGTATGAGCTGGGGTGAGACTCCACTGGCCAGCTGAATCGGAGTGGTTTGGCTTTACTGCAGTCTCTTTTACTGTGTATTTAGTTTAGGGGATCACACAAAGACCACATATTTTGGGGTCCTAGTGTTCATATTGCACCTCAGTTCAGTGTGATTTGATATGTGACCCATGTCCCACTTCCTTTGATACTGCCCACCTGATGACCTCCAGCTGCCCATTCTTATCAGTTTTGCTATCTGTGCAGAGGTGATCCAGCGTTAAACTAAAGCATCAATGCAGTGATTAGATGATCTACTGCTAAACTTGGAACATTGTTTTTAAAAAATAAATAAATACTTTGGGGTGACTAGAGAGAAGGATAACCAAGGTGGGTGTTCTAGCTGTCCCATACATCACCATAACACTACCCAGAGTCATGATTCACATTCTTTTGCAGAACAAAACAAATGTTCACACATGGAAAACACTGTTCGAATCATTCTGACTTTTAAAAAGTTGAAGCCCCCAATAGTAGGGGAAAAACCTCCAAATCAGAAGAAAAATGGGCTGGATTGATTCACATTGGCCTTTGCTTCATGTGATCATTAAAAAGTATTTTGAATTCACCTGTGCTAATTGTGGAGCAAATCTCACTGTATTGTCATTGCAGTCACAGCTTGAGTCCATCTGTGTACACCTAACATGCACACGGTCTTGGCCACAAGATTAGTCTTGACGCCACGATATTCTTGTTCTGCTACTTTTTTTGTGCTGACTACAGGAATTAATATTAGTTGTTGTGAATATTTTAAGAGATTGCTTCTGATTTCTTATAGGAAGTTTGGAGTTATTTATCTTTGCAAGTCATTATGACAGATCCATTGCTATGCACTTTGCTATTTAAGAGACAGAGCTTCTAAATTATGTTTATGGCACAGTCCATATATTTAGAAATAGCCATCAAGGGATGGCAGGCAATGTTGGAAATGCACCTCTAGGCCTAGTGAGGAGGCTGCATAGTTCTAGACAAAGGTCTGTGACGGAAGACTACATCTCTAACTTAGAAAGTCTTCGCTAGGTCAGAGGAGAGCTGCAGACTAATTTCAGAATATGGAAGGGCTAAAGAGGTGGTGGCTGGGGCTGTATCCTCCCATCTGAAGTATTCAAAGTCCTGTCAGCTCAAGGACCTGCCCCAAATGATGTGCCAGGGTTCACCATTGAATCTGGGTGGTAGCAGCAGAACCAATGCTGTCCCAGTGAGTTCCAGAGGACCCAACGTGCCTTCTCCAGCCGCTGGATGTTATCAACACATGCCCTAACTCATTCTAGTTTGCATGGGAAATCTAATGCAGTCCATGCGTGCTTGCAGCGCCTTTATTCTGTTTCCAGAGTTGCTCTTGCAGCTGCTGCTGTAGGGCAGGGGTACTCCAGTAGCACTATTGTCTATCCCTTGCCTTTGTCTCCTAACCTCTGCATCTGAAATCTTCACTGCCTGTTGCCCCTGCTGGCTCTGCCCTGCACGGCCCACTGTCTCCTCCACCCACATAGTGGTTCTCTGCTATCTCACTTCAATAAGATATATCAGAAGATGCCTCTTCCTTGTGCTCATCTCACTAGGTGGTGCAGTTTGCTGGATATGTGGCTGCTTTTTTGAGCATGTCTTCCCCCAGCTATATGCATTTTCATCCAAGAGTGAAACCCCTTTGGATGAAGATTTTACAATAGAGGTTTTCTGCATTGGTGCGCTGTGATGTCTGTGGATGTGTTGTGGTGTGTGTTTGCTTGCACATGCGGACAGGAGTATTCAGATATATTTGTATAGCCAAGGATGGGTCTGTGATAGATTCATGGGTCCCCATAAGAGCAGACTCACTGTTTTTGCGACCTAGGGAGGGGTTTCATGTAGTGTTCTTGCTCTTGTTAGGCTAGTGTGTTGGTCACTGGATGCCACTTGTGTGTGTGTGTATGTGTACGCGCGCACACACATGCAGAAGTAATCCCTTTCCCCATTTGACATGCAAATTTTTGTGTCCGTGGTAGTCCAGGTACAGTAGATTGCTGCTTGGTTGCCTTAAGCTCTGAATGGATTTTATTTATGTATTATTTGTTTTTAACGAATTTGTTTTTAACAAATTAACCTTCTTTGTTTTTAACATTCCCCCTTTCCTCCAATATGGCCCTGAGAGTGGCTCATAAAATCACAAAAATGCATAACATTAAAAACACAATAGATTGATTAAAAAGCAACTGCCTCATTTAAAACAATTTTTAAAAAAGTCAACACATCTCATGGCATATAAACCATTAGAAGTCACTTTTAATGCTTAAGAGTGGAGTGGGAGAGTTTCCTATGCTTGAATTTTAGCATGAGGTACTTCCTTGCTAAAAGCACAAAGTGTCACTGAGATCCATCATTGCTTGAAGACATATGTGTTTCAGTGGCCAATCTGTGGCTTCTTTCTTGACTCAATTCCCCCCGTGTTTGGTAACCAGAAGGCTTTTTGCTTCCAGTGTAATTGATGAGGGCAGAGGTCTCCTGGCTTACTTTCCCATCCACACTTAGCATTTAAGAATATACTCTTAATTGCCTTCATACCGAAGAACAGTAATGATGCTTGTAGTGAGGGACAGGAAATGTAATTATATGTTTCTGCATCAGATAAATAATTTCATTTCTTTTCTTACAGAGTCTCAGTTCCTCATACACAAAATCTATGCTAATGATGTCACCGGAGGACAATACATCACAGTTTTCAAAAAGATTTAGTATGAAATCAATTAAAAGCATATTGAAATCAGAGACAACCTCTTGTAGAGGTTCACTTTCAGAACGTGGGGCTCCAGCACCCCAGAAAAAAACAGAGAGGACCGGTTCCTTAGGTGCTTCAGAGACCAATAGTAAAGGAGCTGAGCAAGGAGAGAGTACAGTCGGTCTGAGAACACAACCACCACCAGAGGTAGCTGGGCCAGATGTGGCATTCATTCAAAGTGACAGTTCAGAACATGTTCCTGAAAGAAAAGAAGAAGGTTTCACATTCTTATATGATTATGCTGGGCGTCAAGAACAGCAACATGCAAGTAGAACTGAACTGAGGTCATTGGAAGAGCTAATCATACCAGAGGGAGAATTTCCTGAAGGTGAGCCTTCAGAATCCATAAAACAAGTAGAACACCTTCCGTATAGGAAAGAGGTGGTTTTCATACCTGAATACAAAAAGGAAGAAGAGAAGGAAGAGGAAGAAGAAGCAGAAGCAGAAGAAGAAGCAGAAGAAGAAGAGGAAGAGATTGAGAGTTCAACTGATTTGACAGCAAGACAGGTAGAGCGTCCTCCCCATAGAAAAGAGGATGGTGTGGCTTTCTTAGATGAATATGGTGAGGAAGAAGAGGGTGCAACTGATGTGAGACCAAGGAAAGCATCATTGAAAAGTGAGACTCCACTGCATGCAGCGCAGACAGGGAGAATATATTCTGTTCCACACAGAAAAGAAGATGGAGTAGCCTTCTTAGATGAATATGATAGTGATGATGACATTTTTGTGAGTGCAACAGATCTAATGCCAACACAAGGATTATTTAAAAGTGAAGCTCCAGCACATGCTAAACAGAAGGAGCCAATGCCTTCTATTCTCCACAGGAAAGAAGATGGAGTGGCCTTTTTAGATGATTACGACACCGATGATGATGAGCATCTTATGGGTGTATCAGGTATGAGACCCATGCAATCATCATTTAAAAGTGAAGCTTCAAGACATGCAAAGCACACACCTTCTACTCCCCACAGAAAAGAAGATGGAGTAGCCTTCTTAGATGAATATGATAGTGATGATGGCATTTTTGAGAGCACAACAGATCTAATACCAATACAAGGGTCATTTAAGAGTGAAGCTCCAGCACATGCTAAACAGAAAGAGCCAATGCCTTCTATTCTTCGCAGGAAAGAAGATGGAGTGGCTTTCTTAGAGGACATTGGCAGCTATCAGCAAGAGCAGCTTGACACTACAGCTGTATTGAGGCCAGAAGAAGATGTAGCCAAATTGGGAGATGCATTGGTAGAAAAGGAAGCTTCAGCATCTATAAAAGGGGTAGAATGTGGCCCTTGCAAAAAAGAGGATCCAGTGACATTTGATGCTGCTCAAGATGGCAATGAACAAACACAAGAGAAATGATCAGATTAATAACAAATATCAATGAAACTTGATATATTTAAATATTTGACTAGTAATGGCCTTTGTCTGTTGCACTATATCCTTGTTTGATGACAAAGTAGCACTTTTCCAACATTTTCCCCTAAAAGAACTCCTCCTAGTTTTAATTACTTTTATACTAAAGATGTCCAATCAGTTTGATAATAACTGGATTCCAAGTGTAGAAACACTTTGACAGTCTTTTTAACATAAAGACACTTCCAGGATGTTATTCCTTCATAGCTGAATTGGCTTGTCATTCATTGTGCTGAAAGGTGGGGAGGGGGGGAAAGAGACAGTTTAGATAAATGTATAAATCATTTATCATATTTGCTGATAGAACCTGTTGTTTTCTTCTGTATTGAAGGATCTCTTAGATGGCGTAACATTTCACTGGACTACAATCAGTATAGCACCATTGTTAAAAGACTGAGTAAAATGCATAATACATTGTTGTTTTGCTTTTTAAAATGTGTTGAATAAATATGATTGGCAGTCCAGTATTAAACATAACATTAAAAAGTGATCTGATGGCTTTATGAGTTATCTTTTCTGTGAAGGGAAGACATTTGTATGTGGAAAATACACAGAGCCTTGGTGAAAACAAAGGTAAGAAAGGCAGACTCGGGAAGTTTCTTATGAAAAGAGATGATAAAATATTGTCCTTAACCCTGTAACAGAGATCTTGGAAGGAAGAGAGAATTTAAGAAGCACATATTATGCCATTGGAGTTCTAACCCCACTTTTAAAATCACTGTGTGTTGTGGGGGATAATTTAAAGTGAAAACAATGTTTAAACTGGCACTGCCCACATACAATTGTCCTAGTCTGTATCAGGCGTACGTATGATTACTTGAACATGAAAATCAGAATAGTCTTAGGTTATCTTAAACTGAAATCTAGCCACAATTTAATGTAGATCATTCCTCTGTAGCCACAAGCGTTCAGGACCTTAGTACTGGGAAGTATTTTCTTAAACGGGGGAAGTACAGTCTCTAAGGAGTATACTGAGAAACTAGAACATGTCCAGTGGAGGCTGATAAGAAGCTCTTGGAAATCAAACCCCATGGAGGAAATGTTGAGGGAATTTGGCATATTTAGCCTAGAGAAGAGACGACTGAGCTAGGTTGCATGACAGCTGTATTTGAAAAGCAGTCAGGTGGAAGACGGAGCAAGCTTGCTTCCTCCAGCTCCAGAGAGTAGCGCTCGAAGTAATGGATCGAAATTCCAAAGTATTATAAAAGAGGTGATTTTGGCAAACCTCCTGACAGTAAGAGTGGCTCGACAGCAAAACAGTCTTGGGAGGTAGTGGATTCTCCTTCCCTGAAGGTCTTTTAAGCGGAGGTTGTTTTAGCGGGGGGGAATCTCCTGTTTCTCCAACGGGAGCTGGGCTCATGAGCCTTGGGGGTTCCTTACAACTCTACAGGGTTATGATTTCTAGTAGACAAGCCTCCAAGGGGCTGGCTTTGTTCGTTAAAGAAGCCTGTGAAGTAGAGATGCGGGGCGAATCATTCCTGCACGTTAATAGAAACCTAGCCCAAGGGTTTAGGTCTCTGGCTGCAGAGCCAGAGGTTGGGAGTTCGATTCTGCGCGGCGCCTTCTTGGCTCGAAGATCTATAGGGTCCGTTTCAGCTCTGCAGTTCGATGATGATGATGATGATGATACCTTCTTGTCCCTCCCAGAGCCCTCCTGTGGAAAGTCGTGCCGTACCCGGAAAGCTTCTTCCGCCCGCCTCCCTGGCCGACCGTGTGGGGCGGGGGCGGGGAGGGGTGGGTGGAAAGAGGGGCAGCCTTTGTGGAGCCACGTGGGCCCTGGTTTGTTGCCCTTAGCAGAGGACGCGGCGGCTCGACGGCGGAGCCTCCGGAGAAGGAGGGAGGGCTCGCGGGGGGCGGCCTCGCAGGCACCCACGCTGTTCTGCGCCGACGTCTGGGGCAGTGGAAGCGAGCGACCCGCGGGAGCCTCGACTCCCCACCTCCGCCCAACGGGGACCCTCTTCCATGGGGGCAAGTAAGTCGGACGCCCGTCACGCCTCCCGCGGCCGCCGCTGTTTAGCGTTGCTGCTGTAGCTACGGACGCGCGATCCGGGCGACACCCGGGGCTTCTTTAAACAATGTCAAGGAGTCTTTAGCAAGACGGGCTGTTTGGCATGGGCTTTTGTGGGCTGCCCGAAATGAAATGCTGAAATCTTAGGCCCCGTTAAACTTATTTGGGAGCTTATGCCAAATGAAACGTGTTCTTGGGTGCTGCACGACTCCGTTGTTTCGCTGCAACAGAGCAAAAGAGCCCCCCCTTCACACATTGCATCTTTTATTGTTTTCTTCCGAGTGTTTCTAAGATTTTGTGTAAATTAAGTTTGAAATCATATATTTACCATGTATAACTCCTGCAACCAGTGGAATCTAGCAACAAGTGAAACAATGCAATCCTATGCATTCTCCCACTTAGAGGTACAGTGGTGCCTCGCAAGACAAATGCCTCACAGGACAAAAAAACTCGCAAGACAAATGGTTTTTGCAATGAGGGGGTGATGACTAGCAAGACAAATGTTCCTATGGCCCTGCTTTGCAATAAGGTTTTCCATTTTTTGTTCCTGCCTCATGTTTACTGATTTTTAAATGTTTTTCTGTGATGTTTAAAAAGTTAATTTTTTTGCTGAAATTTTAAAAATTATCTGCACAATATGTATGGCTTTAAAGAGCACTTAATAAACCCTTTGTAAACCAAATGTAACTTTGTTCTGACTTTTTTTTTGCCCATAGGAATGCATTAATTAGATTTCAATGTATTCCTATGGGAAAACGCGTTTCGCAAGATGAATTTTTCGCAAGACAACATTAACCGCAGAATGAATTAAGTTCATCTTGAGAGGCACCACTGTACATCCCATTGTGTTCAATAGGATAATTCTCCCATGTAAGTGTATGTTGGATTTGTTGTTCACCTGTAATGAAGTCAACCCCTTATCAGGTTTTCATATTTCAATTCTGCCAATATCCAAAGCCCACTGATGCTTTTGAATACAATTGAGAAAAATGTGATCCCAGACTCCAACATCAAGGGTTATTTATTTAAATTAGAAATATGGAATTTTCTTCATGGGATCAATATTTTCATCATCTGAAACTCAGAATTTCAGCTGAAATGCTTCATATGCATGATTATTTTCTGATGTGGTTATAACAAAGGCTGTACTTCATACTCGCTGTATTTTTAAAAGGAAGTGTGTATTCATGATTGTTCTTCCTGACTACAGTACTAAGGTGAAAAATGATAAAAAAATGGGAGAGTCAACAAAGAATGATGAGGAACATCAGGCATTTTCAAAATTTCATTATATGTCTGAAGCTGAAATGCTACTTGACTTTCTTATTCATATGCAACACATAACGGGGAAATAAGATTCACTGAAAAAGACAGTAATGTTGGGAAAGATGAAGGCAGCAGGAAAAAAAAAAGACCATATAGAAGATATAAAAAAATGGGAGAGTCAACAAAGAATGATGAGGAACATCAGGCATTTTCAAAATTTCATTATATGTCTGAAGCTGAAATGCTACTTGACTTTCTTATTCATATGCAACACATAACGGGGAAATAAGATTCACTGAAAAAGACAGTAATGTTGGGAAAGATGAAGGCAGCAGGAAAAAAAAAAGACCATATAGAAGATTTGTTGTTGAGTAATGTTGGGAAAGATGAAGGCAGCAGGGGAAAAAAAAGACCAAATAGAAGATTTGTTGTTGTTGTTGTTATGTGCTGCCAAGTTGCCTCTGACTCATGGTGACCCTATGAATGAGCACTCTCCAAAAGGTCCTCTTCTTAACTGCCTTGCTGAGCTTTTGTATCCTCTTCTTAACTGCCTTGCTGAGCTTTTATAAAGCCTGTGGTTCCTTTAGGGAGTCAATGCATCTCATATTTGGTCATCCTCTTTCCCTGCTGCCTTTCCCCTTTCCCAGCATTATTGTCTTTTCCAGAGAATCCTGTCTTCTCACAATGTGCCCAAAGCAGGACAACCGACTTTAAACATTGTTGCCTCCAGAGATAGCTCAGGCTGGGTTGGATCTAGGATCCACATTTCTTAGATCACACATAAAGCAAAGTAAAGTGTGCTGCTTATATACCGCCCCATAGTGCTACAAGCACTCTCTGGGCGGTTTACAAGTTAATTATGCAGGCTACACATTGCCCCCCCCCCAGCAAGCTGAGTACTCATTTTACCGACCTCGGAAGGATAGAAGACTGAGTCAACCTTGAGCCGGCTACCTGGTATTTGAACCCCAGGTCGTGAGCACAGTTTTGGCTGCAGTACAGCAGTTTAACCACTGCGCCACGAGGCTCGCATAAGAAACAGAATCCACAGAGGAGATGGATTGATTGCATAAAGGAAGCTGTGGTCTTGATTTTAAAGACTCTTAATGAAAGCACTGTTTCAAGTTCATTAATTTTTAAGGTTGCTAGAAATCTAAAAGTGATTTGATGGCATATAAGAACAATGTACAGCGCAGCTAGTTAGGCTTGGGACTGCAGCCAGTGAAGGAAGAGGGAAATTAAATGCCCCTTTTCTACATTTAAATATTGTTGCAATAGTCTGGTGTTACAAATTTATTTGGTGGTGGTGCAGTACAAGACTCTCTCTCTTGTTATTCCTTTTTCTTTCAGTACCAAAATTGTATTGCCACTTTCAACCTCAATTGTTTGGTGGTGATAGCTTAGACACGATGGGCCGATCCACTTGAACAACACTACCAAACAACATTAAGTGTATGTGCGTGCATGCATACATGTGAGTGTTTGAAAAATAACTTAACTTTTATGAAGCAAATGCTTCTTTGTGTTGTTTTTCACTCGGATTTGGTGCTTCAGAAAATAAGCAGTTTGGAGGCCTTCTGGTTAGACTTTGGTGTTGACCCCAAGCTGAAAGTTCGAAATCCAAAGCTGTATTTATTTATTCAGACATACAGACACATTCTAGCTTTCTTCTAAGGACTTAGACTTCAAGGGAACATTTACTTTGTCTCAGAAAGCAACAGAATTGATATAAAGGGAGGACATTCAGGCTTCAGCCATATACAATGTACATTATTAGTATCTCTGCAGAGGCCTCTAGGAACATTACAGTGGGGTCTTGACTTGAGAACTTAATCCGTATTGGAAGGCGGTTCTCAAGTCAAAAAGTTCTCAAGTCAAATCTGCATTTCCCATAGGAATGCATTGAAAACCATTTGATCCGTATCTGCTCTTTTCCGTCCATAGAAACTAATGGGAAGCTGCTATTCTTCAGCCATATACAATGTACATTATTAGTATATCTGCAACGGCCTCTAGGAACATTAGTTTGATTTAAGACATATATTGCTGAATCTAAATACTTAAGTCAATATTTTCCTATGAGAGTGGTTCTTAAGTCAAAGTGTTCTTAACTCGAGCCGTTCTTAAGTCAAGACCCCACTGTAGTTTGATTTAAGACATATATTGTTATACAAAACCCTTTCTCTTTGTATGTGACTGAGTACAAAATATTTATTAGTGGGAGCTTTGAGAGGAAAATAAAGAGGCAGAGGTGCAATGTAGGTGGAAATCCCTCACTTTATCACAACTGAAATTTGTGAAAATTCAGTATGATTTACTAAGTAGAATGGTCTTCAGACAGAAGAGTTTATCCTGTATAAACCTGTCTATGTCATTTCATATGAAAGTTGTTTCCTCTCTGCTTTCTTTTCTTCTTTTTGAAACCCTATCATAGGAAGCCTTATGAGGATGGTTATGCTTTTAATGCACATAAAATGATTTGCATAGTATGATTCATTATTGAATATCTGATATTTAAGTCTGTGTGGGCTCACCACTGCTTAACTTTTTTTTTCTAGTGGTCATGAAAGAGTGAATCTTGCCCTTCAGTGCAAAAAATACTTTCCCCATTAATTCAAAATGGTGGACTTCAGGATCAGTTTAACAATTTCCTTTTTTTCAACTACATTCACTCTATATTCTTAACAAGGATCTTGAATCTGGGAAATGGAAGCTGATATTCTCAAAGCTAATGACTGTGGATCTCAGTGGGCTGCAGAAGATTCCTCAGAACAAGTAGCCTATCATGATACAACTGATGACAACAGAGGATCTTCATCTTCTTTAAGTCAAGGCTGGGTAAACAGAACAGTTGATGTCCTCACAGAACAGTGGACGTCTCCAAACAGCAGCACACTAGCAAGAGATGGCCTGTCTGTTAACCTGGATCATGCTGAAGAATTTCAGGATATTCCATTTAATTACTTGGCCACTTCTCTTTTTACCCCTCATGTGTCACCAGCCACTCAAGCTGAAATGCCATCTGACAGGAAAAATAATGAAACTTTGCAAACCCCAAGTTGTGCTGCTTTTGCTTCTCCTTTGTCGACTCAAGAAACCATATTCTGTCAAACAATGAAACAGGTACGTCTGCTTAAAATAACTTGCCTTTATTATAACCAGAAACTCTCAATTACTATGTAATTTGCTGAGGTTTCCCTGAGTTGATAAAAATTGTCATTTGAAATAAGACCTGGAGACTGTAGCGTTTGAATGCCATGGAATGCAGCACAACACTTTCTTTGCAGATGGAGCTCAGAGAAATACAGAACATGGAGCTGTGTGTGTGATAAACCAGTCAGAGGACCCATTTGCTAAAATAAAAATAAAAATTTTATTAGTTGAGAACAAAAAGAGCCAGTGGGAACTGGACAGCAGCAGGCACTGACATTGATCCTGCTGTTTTGCCAGTTAATCTCAATACCAGTTGTTGGGGACCAAGGCTGGCTGGTAGGGAATAATCTAAGGCAAGGATGAGGAAATCTCCAGTGTGATTATCTTAACGTGTTGGAGGATGCAGTCAAAATTTGCAATCAGCTCCTTGATAATTACAGTGAACCTAGCTTGCGCATGGAGCTGTTCAACTGTAAGGTCTTCTCATTATTTTGCGTATGTGGAAGAATGTGCTGGCTAACTTCTTTGCCTCCTTTAGATCCTGGTATTGAACCTTTTAAGCAAGCAACAGTGAATGCATGTATGCAGTGGAGAGCAGGATCTGAAGATTTAAATCCAACTGATTCTGTGGACCAGTTGGGTTTAGATCACTGCTTTCAGATATCAATGTTTGCTGGGTTGTCTTCGATAATACCAGTTCTCTTCCCAGACTCCAGAGGAGCAGGAGCAGCTCATGAGGCACCAGTTAGAACACCTGCAACGGCTAGTAGCTGAACAGCAGAAAATCATTATGTTCTATAATCCAGGTATTGCAAGAACTGCATTCTTTCAGGAAAGCACTGTATTTTTTTAAGCATACTTTCAGACTGTCATAAATGTGTGATCCTGTGTGGATCATTTTGATTAAGGATGTCAAATTTAACTACCAGGACAGATGCCAGAAATTTTAATGAATTTCAGGAAATGTGAGTAGGTGGGATTCTTAAAATGGTGTTTCGTTTTCTCTGTAAAAACAATTTTGATACCTATCAAAATATGTCAACTTTTTGTTAGGCTTATTTGGTTATTCTCTTTGCAGGATACAGCAGCCTGGTGCTGATCCTGTGATTATTTAAATTAATAACCTGGGCACTGGTAGTACAGTAATGTGAAAGAAAAAAAACCTTCATTGTTTATTATTTAGGAAATCCAGGTGATGATGATGAGAGGAAATAAAATCAGTAAACATTACAGAAGCCCTTTGCACACAGAGTATGCTGGCAGCCATTATCTGCTTCTGTAACTAGGAAGATGAAAAGGTGGGAAATTATTGCACAGATATAAGGAGGAAGGAAATAAACCTAAGAGTGTCAAACATGTAGAACTAGAACAGGTCAAAGAGGAAAGCAGACTACAGTTGTCTATCTGCCTATTACTTCCCTCCCATGGTTCTGATCACATTGCATGCATTGGTGTTGATGGTAAACATAGATGGAACATGTATTGAGAAGCAAACTAGAAATGGTGTTTTCAAAAACATGAGAGGCAAGGAAAGGCAGCTAGCTTGCCAGTATGGGCTAAAAGGGAACTAACTGCTCATTGTTACCTGTTCTGTTTGTTCTTCCAGACTTTTCAGTTTCTCCTGATATTCTGCCCTATTTATTTGCTTTAATTCTATCCCTTCCAGGAGTCTCAGCCGCCTTATGTCATGCCCAACTCCCTCTGGGGAATTCTTTCCAATTTCAGAATCAAGGATGTCCACAGATCAATCCCTTAATAATCAAACCAACTTTACAGACATGCACCACAAGGACCTCAGGAAACAACTCCTTCAAAGAAGCTTCAGAGGAACATCCTGAAGAAGCAGGTAATAATATGAAATGGAATATGAAGTACTGTACATTTTTGTAGACTGTATCTGTCTTTGCTCTTTGCCTCCAAACCCAACCACTACCACCATCACCACGTGGCAATCGAAACAACTCATTTGTAAATGAAACAGACTGCAGTCGTCCCTGTAGTCATTGGGGATTTGGGAACAATATCAACAAATTTCACACAGTATTATAAGCAGTTGCAGATCTCAGAATTAACACCATAAGAGCTACAAAAAATGGCAATATTGGGAACAGCATGCATACCATTCTGATATTTAACAGATAGGTTTTTGCTTAAAACTTGTATCTGTTATATAATACAAGTCAGTGTTTTTATAATTTTGATTGACTGTGCCATGTTTGTTTGTTTGTTTGTTGAATAATTATAATAGTTTGTGGTCATGTCCATTCTGACTTACACCAACCTTTTCCAGGGTTTTCTAGGTTGAAATTACTGAGAAGTGGCTGACCATTCCCTTCTTCTAGGGGTGCCCTGGGACTGTACAGCTTTCCCATGACTGCACAGGCTGGCTTTTCTCCCAGGAGGCACAGAGGAGAACTGAATTCTCAACCTCTGGCTCCACAGCTAGATATGTAAACCACTGAGCTATCCAGCCAGATAAACCTTATAACATACAGTATTTTTAATTAAACAAAAACATAATATGACAGCATGGTATGGTGTGTTTCTCTACTGCTGACTGCCAATACTGTAGGAGAAGGATCAAGGAACTCACAGTCTGATATTTCGTGTTAGAGGAAATGAACAAAATTAATTGTCAAGCGCTCTGAAACAGTCATGCTCTCTGTAAATATATTGTGCCAGTTCACACATAGAGTTCTTGACCTATGAGGTTTCCCTGTTGTTGTTGTTGTTGTTGTTGTTGTTGTTGTTGTTGTTGTTGTTGTTGTTGTTGTTGTTGTTGTTGTTGTTGCATACATTGAAAAATGTGTTGGGCAGCCTCTTTGCTTCCTTTAGAGCCTGGGGTTAGCTCTTTTCATAAATTGTCCAAAATTGAGTCAATTTAAGTATGTGATGTAGTGGGGCAAGATCATAAGGTTCCTTATCATATTGATCAGTCTATGTATGAATGGAGGTACCTGAGTAGGAACTTTGCACATGGGATGAAGGTACATAGCTCTTAGTTTGCCTTGCAAATTCATTCCCCCTTTCCTTTTATGTGTGTGCACTTATCTGAGTGCTGCAAAATAATGTTAGTAGTTCAAAATAATGCCAGTGGTTTTCCTTACTACCTCTATGAATTCTCTTGCTGGTTCTGCATGGGAGCCTCTGTGATACTGAGTAGAATTACAAAAGCCTACATTTATGTAGTTCTGATATATTCAGGATAGTATCCTAATTTTTTAAAAAAAATCTTGTCTAAATAGGAGCAAATATAGAACCTATACCTAAAAGTTATGAAGCCACTACAGAAGAATCTTTCAGACAGAATGCTGAACGAGAGAAGAATGCTGGAGTAAAAGGTGATGATGGGAATATTTCTGTTTATGCATGCTTTCATATTTGTCCTTTTCTCTGAAATTGCTGTCCTTTGTTTACAGAGAAACCATCAATGGCATCCCTGGGCAATTCAATTTTTACTGTTTCCTGTAGTTTTGGAGGAGGTAGCCATGTTAGTGCATGCATATCAGGCAAAAACCAAAGAAACAAAACAAAACAAAAAAGGCAAAAACATGTGGCACATATTTTAATGGTGCCACATGTTTTTTGTCGTTTCTTGTTTTGTTGTGTTTCGTATCTTTGTTTTATGCTAGCATTTTCTTTGTGTTTTTCCTGTTCCCCCCCAAACATGAATTGCAATCATTGTTCCGACTCTGATAGGTTTGTTTAGAAAACGTAAATTTTTTTCAATCCATTTCCCACTTCTACATGGAAATTTGCCTTTATGACATGATTACCTTTTCCCCACTTTAAAAGCTAATTAATTTAGAAGAGTTTTTCTTCTTTTGTTTCCTGATTGAAGAGTCTTGGTTTGAAACCTTGCCCACTATTAGAGAAGAAAAAGGAGAAAAACAAATATTTGAAAATTCTTCCCCTTCCCCTTTTGGAGTGAGAATGGATACAAGAAATAGAAATGGAGATGACAGGTGAGAGAGCATTCCGTACAAATATACATAAAAATAAAACTTTTAAAGAATAACTTTAAAACTGGTTAGTGTCAAATTTTTTGCTAAATGCTATATTGATCTCTTTTTCTGTAGGCATTCCATTTTACCTTTACAACAACCCTGAGATATATATTTTTCTATGAGATTACAAGTAGCCAGAAATTATACAGTCAACTCTGTGATTGAGCTATGATTTGAATCTCCAGTTTAAATCAAATAGATTTCGAAGTGTTCGTGTTTATAGGAGCAGCATTGCTCCAAGCTCAGAATTAACAGACCACAATACAAACAGTCCTGCACGAGGCTGTTGATAAATGTGAGCTAATTAGATTTGGCATAATGCGAAGAAGTGGGGCATCATGTATGTAAAAACACCACCAGGATGCCCATCATCACTTCCCTTATCAGTATTCTGTCTCCACCTCACTTTCCAAGCTGAATCCCAGCATACTTCGCCTCGGCTGTAATTCATCATAACGCTGAAGGACTGTTGCACATTCTTTGTTCAGACCTGTTGTTTTATTTCTTTAGACCAATCCGACCTGGAATTGGAGTCAGACAGAGAACATTTGAAGAATTTGTTGAAGAACAACTTAAAATAGATTCCCAGAGTGCAGAAAAGCTGCAAAAGGTACTGTCGTGCTGTGCGCCATGTTAGTAAAACAATCCAACTTTGAAGAAATCTCATAAGGGCTTTCAGTGGCAAAAGCAACTCACCCTTTCAAGTCTCATTTTTATTGGTATGTCTTTCCATTTTTATCCCTCTTTTCAAAATATAGGCCCAAACTAAATAAGACTCTTTACAGTTCCTGTAAGAGGAAACGATTGTCAGTTTGTTTTAACATGAAGTTGCTTCAGTCCTCATCTGGCAAATTACCCTGCTTTTGTTTTATATTTATTCAACTAGGGTATATCAGTTTTGTTTGCATTGTGGCAAATTTTGTAAGAGGAGGAAATACATGTTTATTTTAACATGTAATCTGACACCGTTGCAGCTGTGTGTTATACAAATACTAGCCTTGATCTTAACCAAGAGGCTTAGAAGCAATTGGTTAAACAGTTACTAATATTCTTGTTGTTCTCATTCTACATTGTTACGACACAGTGGTGTAAGATAGTCACATTTTTACGTGCAGATTTTGCTTCTGCCTTTCTCTATATTTAGACGAAGGTACAATGAGGGGAAAATGTCTATTCAGTCCTTTACTCAAAAGTATAGGATTGTGGAAAGACTGAAATAACTGAGCATGTTTAGCCTTGAGAAAAGAAGACTGAGAGAAGATATGATAGCACTTTTCAAATACTTACAGAGGAGGGGCAGGATCAGTTCTCGATCATCCCAGAGTGAAGGACACATAATAATGGGCTGAAGCTGCAGAAAGACAGATTTAGGTTGAACAGCAGTAGTACAATGGACTCAGTTACCTCAGGAGGTGCTGAGTGCTACAGTGCTGGAGGCATGCAAGCGAAAATTGGACACGCGTCTGTCAGATCTGCTTTGATTTGGTTTCCTGCATTGAGCAGGGGCTTGGATTTGATGACCTTATAGGCCCTTTCCAACTCAATTATTCTATGGTTCAAAAAAGAAAAGTAAAGAAACAGGAATGAGCTAGTTTCTGTGGCTGTCTCCACTGTAGGGTGGGTCAGGAGTTATGATGCTAGATTACTGAAGATCACTAAACCTCAATTCAAAGTGCAAAGATGTTAAGAATACTAACAGTGGTTCCAGTGGTAACTGTGACATGAAATGGTGCATAGGACAGCCACGTCATTACAAGGGATTTTGTAAAGTTTCAAAAAGGGAGTGAGAAGAGCTGAGATTTGATGTCTGCTGGAATAAAGCCTGTGGTTTCTTCCTCCTGAGAAGATCTATGCCATGGTGGCAGCCTCGGTTATCCTTCAAATGACAGGAAAAGATTATAGACAAACATCACAAGTACAGTTAGGTTCAGCATTAGCATCTGCCATGGAGATACCACAGGGACAATATTCAGTTCAGCATCTTTCATCTTTCCTTCCCCCCCAAAAAATATTTTTTTTTGTTGTTTACACAAATTAGGCCTAATACTAAACTATATTCCAGTTCTGTTTACCATCTTCATTCGCTTAAAGTTCTCTTCCTGTTGCAGCCATCTGAGTTGGTGTGTTTCTGTGCGGCTGGACAATCAGAGAGTGGGAAGGAGTATGGAATGGATTACCTTTTTCATTCATTCTCTATTTTTAAAGATGACAAGCATAAAGGGAGTTGTTGTAGGAACATACATGGATGCTCTTGGTGTTATATATTATTAAGATTTCCATGTTAAATATTACTACTGTCTTGTATCATTGTATCGCTTGTAGACCTCCTGTGAGACTAAAGCAACTGCTCAGAAGTCATTTCTGAAATGTGGGGAAGGAATTGCAAGGTTTGAAAAAAATAAAGGAAAACCTGATAAGACTCTGGCCAGATGTCACAGAAGAGTCAGCTTTGATTGCCGAAATAATTCCTTGTGGCTTGCTGAACAGAATACAGGAGAACTTCTGGGAAAATGTCGGCAGTTGAAAAGACAAGTTAGTAGCCCCTCAGTGCTGTTTATGAATGATAACATTACAGATTGTATCATTTCCAAGGATGACAGAAGAAATCAGTATAATAACCATGGTGGAAAGCAGGGAATTAAAAAAGGCAGCAAGAGTAGTCACGATCCTGATGGTGAAGAGTTGACAAGTGAGAAAGGATCTGGTTTATTATCTCAGATTAATTGTTCCAGCTGTTCACAAAAATGTAATGAAAATGAAATCAAGGCACAAATGACTGGAAATAAGGAAGCCTCATATCCTGGTTGTCAACCACACCAGAAAGTTCTGGAGGACAGACCCATAGATTCTAAGGTTTCATTCCAGCTTACGAAGGGCACAGAGAAAAGTGTATCACAACAGGTGGCAGGAAAACCCATGGATGCTTCAGCAAATGTCTCTGAGTTTTACAACACAGAAACTAATCAAACCCCTCAAGAGGATCAGAACTCCATATTTCAGGTTATTCAAGGTGTCAGTAAGGACAGACAGTGTAAACATGAATATCATGATGCTGTGGGTAAAAGCCCAGAGATCCAAATAGAAATTAGTCCTGGGTTTAAGAAAGTTAATGATCAAATAGTAAAAATTACATCTAATCCAGATAGAAGTCAGGTGACTATGACTGCCGATTTGCAGAGGGAGCACCACAGCAGTGCAGGCACTACTAACAAATGGGAAGGAAAAATCTTCTCTGATCCAGACAGCACTTCTACCAAAAGTGAAGGTGAGCCTAAATCTCATTGCTCTCGGTACCCATTAAGACACAGTACCCACACTAGAGCCATCACAAGTAAGAGCTTAGATCTTTCTGATGCTGACTATGCCACTGATGAGCCTAGTGGAGCTGAAGATCATTTATTGAAAAACCATGGGATATTGCTTGCCAAGAGGTGTGGTGGTCGGGAACCAGTACAAAAACAGGACACTTCTGTTGTGACAAGCAGCAGCAGCAGCAGCAGTGACTCAAGCCTCAGAGATGGTTGCCTGAATCATGGAACTGTTGTGACAAGCAGCAGCAGCAGCAGCAACAGCAGTGACTCAAGCCTCAGAGATGGTAGCCTGAATCGTGGACAAAACTACTCTCCTTTTAGAAAATCTCCCTTTCATTCCTCACAAACTGCAATAGGAGGGAGAGACCCTGAAATACAAAGGAATTTTATGGGCAACAGCGATAACAGAGAATTTAGCTTGAAGCCTTCTTCTTCAGCAAGCCATCTTGTGGCCAGCCTCTTCCCTGTGTTTAAGAGTAAAGCAAATCCAGAAGATAAGAGAGCAACTGAAGGTAAGACTTTAAAAAGGCATCAGTGACTTTTCCTTTAGACAACATAGCTTGCATTCTTCCAAGAATAAATACATGGATCCATCTGCTAGCTAGTCCTTTGTTGGCAAATTCAGTAATGGATTGCTTCAACTGTAATGCACAGCTATTGGTTGTTTCATTTAGCTGTGATTTTTTAAAAATATATGTGAACCCAGCTCATTTTTGGTTTGTCATATATTGCAGCTAGGAAGCAATCATATCCCAAATGAAATTGGTCTAAACTGTGATTTGCAGATTGCTGTAGTGCCTCTATGTTGGACAGCATGAATTTCAAAGCAATTCATGGTAACTATTTGTATCATTATATTGCACTTTACAAGTGCACTTGTGGGGCCTGAACTCTGATAATATTTAAAGTTTCTTTCACATTGCAATGCATTTTGATAGGGAATGCCAATGAACTTTATTAATACTTGCACAATCTAATTTTGCTCCCTTTTTTGCACACAGTGTCTGTGAGTGACTAATCACGTGATGTAACTATGAATGTCTTTGTAGAGCATGCTCAGAACAAACAGATGGACAAGTTAGAGGAGTATGAAGGGGAGGCTCTAGTGCACCAAAAAGAAACCTCTTTGCTGGCTCAGATGAAAGAAGAACAAGCAAAAGCAATGGCTGTTCTCAGGTATGAAATTAATGTGTATTTATTATTCGTTTATTGTAATTGGACATACATATCTGGTGTTGCTTTTCTTCATTGAAGAGAAATGACAATAAATGTCATTTCGTATGCATATGTTTGAAGTGGTGCTATTTAGTTTCCAAACAATATCTGCAATGCCCAAAAGCATCAAAATCCATGGTTGCAATTTAAAAAAAAGATGCTGGCAGAACTAATGGAGACTGAAAGAAAAGATTAAAAGAGTGAGATGTTCCAAAGCCTATACAATAATTCAGCCTTGAACTGAATATACAAATCATGTCTCATCAGACCAAAGATAAATCCAGGCATGTATTGTAGCTACTTTGTGCTTAATAACTCATTTTTTACGGGTAATAAAAGGCAGATTACGCTATACAAAAGCATCAAAATCCATGGTTGCAATTTAAAAAAAAGATGCTGGCAGAACTAATGGAGACTGAAAGAAAAGATTAAAAGAGTGAGATGTTCCAAAGCCTATACAATAATTCAGCCTTGAACTGAATATACAAATCATGTCTCATCAGACCAAAGATAAATCCAGGCATGTATTGTAGCTACTTCGTGCTTAATAACTCATTTTTATGGGTAATAAAAGGCAGATTACGCGATAATTGTAGCTACTTTGTGCTTAATAACTCATTTTTTACGGGTAATAAAAGGCAGATTACGCTATATACAGTGGTGCCTCACTTAACGAGCGCACCGTTTAACGACGAATCTGCATAGCGATGCGGATTTTGTGATCGTTTTTACGACCGCATTGCGATGTTTTCTATGGCCGAAAATCGCATTGCGATGATTTTTTAAACAGCAGATTGGCGGTTCCAAAATGGCCACCGGGTGCCCAAAATGGCCACTGCAAGTGTTTTCGCGCCCTGCCCTCGCTTACCGAGGGCACGAAAATGGCGGCGCTATGGAGGAACTTCACTGAACAGTGAGTTTGGGAGCCATAGGAACGCATTAAACGAAGTTTAATGCGTTCTTATGGCTTTTTCCGTCCCGTTTAGCGATGTTTCTGCATACTGACAATTAATTCAGAACGGATTAATGTCACTATGCGGGGCACCACTGTAGTCAATTAAGTAAATAATAAACACAGTCTAAACATGCATGTTGAGGAAACTGAGTTCATAGTAATAAGTAAAACACAAACAGCCCAAGAAATGCAATTAAACCACTTCCTTCCTGTATATGTGGCATTCCAGGTTTTGTTTTTATAATTACCAAATAGTTTATCTTTCAACAGACAACAAATAAACCAGATTGAGGCACACAGTCCTGGGAAGATGCATTCCCTGGAAGAGTGCAATAGTGACAAAGCTCTGAAAATGGAGAAAAAAGGGGGAAACATTGAAGAGCACACAATAATAATTAAAAAAGAAGGAGAAGTAAGTGAAATACAGGTAAGTGGCATTCTGTGCTACAATCCTACTGAACGTCTGGGTGTATTATTTCAGATGGGTATATAGAACTATTTGATACTGTGTTCTCGTTCATTTTGGAGTCGAATCTAAGTGCAATTTTTGGTAATCCACTCAGGTTAAAACAGGACAAACCAAAAGAAATGCACAGCAGACTTAAGTTCAGATGACCTTGGAACTGATTTCCATGGGTGCAAGAATTTCAGTTGTAATGAAGACAGCCCCATGGCCATTCTACCATTGTGATGTCAGTTTTTATTTGAGTCCAAAATTATTGAAATCTGAAATGCACAGTGAATTTGGCTGTCCAGTTAACTATTGATCCGTCACCTCTCGCTCCCATAGATATTTTAATAAAATCTTTCTGCATTTTATTCAGAACTCCTGAATGGAACAGAGAGCTGACTGAATAGCTCAGTAGTTTAGATAGCCAGCTGCAGAGCCAGAGAGATGGGGAGTTTGATTTCCCACTGTGCCTCCTGCAAGTAGAGCCAGCCTGTATGGTTTGGGGCTAGCTGTACAGTCCCAGGATGTCTCCAGAGGAAGGGCATGGCAAACCACCTCCAAGTACTCAATTCCTAAGAAACCCTGGAAAGGGTCAACATGAGTCAGAATCAACTTGATGGCATTCATTCATTCATTCATTCATTCATTCATTCATTCATTCATTCATTCATTCATTCATTCATTCATTCATTCATTCATTCATTCATTCTGCTCAAGTAATAGCTACTTAGCTGCTACTCTGGATGGCTAAAAGAAGGACATGTAATCATAAACAATAATGATAGCGATAAGAAAAATAAAATAATGACAAAAACAATGAAACAACTGTGAAAATTAATGGCAGACTTGTGGCAGAAGGGATACATAAGATTACTGATAGTTTAGAAAAGGTAGCTGTGCAAGCATATCGGGCGAAATAAGATTACTTAATTATTATATCAAGCTTTGTTAGTCTTGAAATTGAAAACAGGTCCAGTAGAGAGATAACTGGAATATGGAGTTGGAACCCCTGAATGACACTGTCTCCCAAACTTGGTACAGAGTTTGTGTCCAGCAGCATTCTATAGCAAACAGGGGAAACAGCGAAGGAAGGCATGTGATTCCATCTGAGTATTCCAATTACTACTGGTTTCACAAGCTTCACTGGAACAGTGCACTAATTCAGAAGGTGAATGTACCAAAGTGGGCAACAACTGACACAAAGCTAAGTGCAAGCCTTAAAAATTACATGGCTAATCAAAATGCAACCTGTGATATTTGGCATATTGCCCAGGATTGATTTATTCATTTATTGATTTATTGATTGATTTGAGAAAATACTGTTTGTTTTCATTTGCTTCAGTGAGGACAGGAATCAGCTTGAATCCACTTCTGACAATCCATATATATTAGGAACATGAATACAAGTGTTTGTAGAACGTAAAGTGTATAGTAGAATGTTTATTATTTTTTCCCAGATACAAATTAGATATAAATCTTTGAAAATTAAATTTTCTTTTTTAATCATCAATTAAACAAATGGGAAAATCTTTTTTACTGTTAGGTCTTCCTGCGAGACAAACCTTCTGAGTGCATAATGTACCCATCGTTCTATTAGTTCTTTTGTGCCTTCTTGCCCACCTGTCCTCTCATGCACTGTAGATTTTGACATCACCTGTACTTGTAGGTAACCAAGGAAAATCCACAAGTCAGCATTGTCTTGACGGCACATGATTATTATCAAACGAAACAAAGGGGAGAAGAGGCAGAATAATTGTGGGGGAGGAATAGAAGTTTGCAGTTGCTATGGGGCTATTTCCCTTTCCTCTCTCTCACCTTTCACAAAATCTTTTTTATTAAGCCATTTATTGTGGAAGTCCAAATTACTGTCACTCTTAGCATCCTTCTGAGAGACATTTAGTTTTAGAACCATTTGGGGCTTCTTTGGGGGAGGGAGGGTGGAACATAAAAGGTAAACTCTCTCTTCTGCAACTATAAGCACCAGGAAAGTTATAAGGTACAGATTCAGCTCTAGCCTATACAGGAATAAGGAAATTTCTGTATAGAAATGCTGCTGCTGTTGTTGATTTTGCTGCTGCTAATCCTACTACTATTAACCCCCTGATGACAGAAGTTAAAGCAGCAAATAATTGGGCTGCAGGAGGCCTTTAGGAGAAATGAGACCCAGTGGCATGCTGCTCATGACAAATTAAGAAGTCAAGTTGAAGCTTTGACCAAGCAGAACCTGGAGCTTCAATACGAGCTCAGAACCTCTGAGCATCAGAAGATGGAAGCGGAAAGAACGCATGGGCACATGGAGTTTCCTAGTAGAAGAACAGAAACGCCGGTACAGTAAACAGGCTCACAGCCTGTGTTTGGGTTCTTGATTTCTGTCCCTATATTTATGTCTGAGGAAAGACTACAACTCTTGTATGTGGCTGCCCCACTGTCTGAATATTCTTCAGGTGGGGAACGACTGCCGTTCAGTTATACTGCTAGAGCAGGCTTGCGAACCTTTCCTGAAGGGTTGAAGGAAGGTTGAACTTCCCATTCTTTCTTCCCTCATTGTCGGACCTCTTTGCAGGGCAGCACCAGAACCCACTGTGGTAAATATCAGACATAGAACATCCTCAATGGCAGGTTAGTTTGAAGTGGAACCTACAGGGGGAGCCCTAGCCTTAGGGAGAGTGAGGCAACTGCTAGGGGCAGAAAAGGCTGAATAACATAGAGTGGCTATTGCTGTATATGGCAGGTGACCTGCTCTGCTTCTCCTAAGTTACTTTCCTGGCCTCAGGTGCAGGGAAGGTGCTGTGTTTTTGCCGCAAGTGATGAAACAATATTCACGTGCCTGTCTCATCATCACCATGGAGTTGGGCAGAGATGGGGCAGGCCTTGTCTCTTGCTGGAAAATGCTTTGAACCTGACAGTGCCATACAGGGACATGAAATCTTGGGGAAGTTTCTCCCTCTTCTTCCTAGCAAAAACCTAGTTAGGGCACTGCCAGTCTCCATTTTTATTTACTTGTACACATATGAAACATTCGTAATATGTAGTCCTTTCTTTATCAGGTCGCAGCAGCTATTTTGAGTGGGGCATCACCTCCAGAGGACCTGCAAGAGGGAGTGCTGCGAGGGAGCCATGGAAGTCCCGGCAGTGGGCATGGAGGAAGGAAAATGCCACCAGACGTATTTGTCCCGAAAGATAGGAACACACAAGTAAGACATGCGATTTTGATGCAGAGAAAATTTGAAACAATCCCATAATATATACAATCAGAGCTTATGTAGTGTAGCGTGTGGGCTACAGAGTCTGAAGATCAATCCCAGTGTGGCATTGAAGATGCTATCTTTTGTGCAGAGACGAAGATACTCAGGAGCAATTCAGGAAATCATAGGTTCAAATGTTGTTTCTTTAGTGAACTCATTGAGGGGCCCAAGGCAAGTCCAAACTATTCTCTGCAAGTGGTCTCTCTATTCTCCTCCTCACAGGGGCCCAAGCTATTCTCTGCGCCATTCCCTCCAATATGTGGGATTACTTAACTTTATACTGTAAATGCTTCATTAACTAATTCTAGTGATTATAGGGCTGTTTTAACTATTACAACTAGATAATGAATTATGTTGAATGTCTGAAAGCACCACCTGTGTATCCATTAATTAAGTAATCATATACTAAGAAATATGTTGTGGATTTCCAAGAGCCTATTGTGTTTTTTTTAATGACATCTAGGCAACAAGAAGTGAATGGCAGAAATCCGAGTTATTGAAATCCACAACAGGAGAACCAGGAATGAAGAGCCCACCTAAAACCCTTCATAACAGAAGTGTGACGCCGACAGGTCGAAAGACGCCTCATCAAACACCATTTGAAGTAGAGAAAGTAACACAAAGTCTCTAAATAGCCTAGCTTCTTAAGTATCTGAAGTTGTGCTTTTTCCCTACGTTTTTACAACACAAAACCTGCTGCTTAAAGTTTACTGCCCTCCCTTTTTTTTCCCTTCCTCGCTAGGTTTTAAGGAGGTCCAGCAAACCTGAATGTAATACAGGGGTGGCTGAGGCAGTAAAGCAATAGATGAATAGTGACTATCCTTGGAATGTCTGTGGAAGTGAAAGTGGTGTACATCTCACTTTTTCCTTTTGTTACAGGACAATCGAGATGGAGATGAGGCTTAAAATAGTGCTTCTCAACAACTGCCTTTTACCTTTGCCTTCCTTTAGTTGTTGCTTCTGACCTGTATTTCATGGCATAAATTCCAGATATAAACTTCTTGAGAGCTGTAGCAATTTTTGTAATACTGATGAGCATCCTGAGGCTTTCCTTGTAATGTATTTTATCAAAAGGAAGAGGCTATGAGGCTGACTCCACAGGCATTTAGCCCACTATTTGGTGCACTGCAGGAATGGGCTGGTTTGCTCTTAAAGATGGATATCAGACAACATCTTTGTTGGATCAAGCCAGCCTACCCCCCAGAGCCATCATTTTTGTACCTTCCTGCACCCCTATCAGGGACATCTGCTTTTTTGGTGCGTGTGGAATTGCTCTGTTTTGGTTTGGGCACATGTGAGTGCTGGAACTGATCTATATCAAGCCTTCTGATTTGAATTTGCCAAGGTTGTGAAGTGACTTATTGTGAAGTTATTTGGCAAATTCATCACTCCTCGTCGGAGAGGCAAGAGAAGTGGGAAAAAAATTTGACTGTAGAATGGACTATTGCTGAAGCACTGCATCAGTTATTTAAACAAATAATAAAACAACATCTTCTTTGCTTTATAACAGTCCGGTCACAAAACTGCCTTCAGTTGAATCCATGGTGATGGCTTTGACTCTAATTTGTTTCTCAACCAGCCCTTTAAGAGAAGGCAAATAAAATATTTTTTTAAATAACTGATACAGCTCATCACTGGTCATCCACATACAGTTAAAAAAATAAAACAATACACTACACCTCTGCCAAGGGGCAGAGGAAGTGATCAATTGGCTGATCACCTGAGGTGGCTTGCTTATTAAGTCATTTGAGAATATTGGCAGAAGTGATTTTTGTGTGAACCACCGGGCTTGATTAGATCACTTAAATCAAGCCCAGCCATTCAAAATCATCCCAGACTACCTTGTTCCCTGCCATTAATGTAACCACACCCTCTCAAAATGATTGCTTAATGAGGGAAACAGTCACAATTGTTGCCCCAAATCACCCAGAAAGCTGACACTTTTCAGAAAATATCTTAAAAGTTTTCTATATAACACCATAATTTTTCCCCTCTAAAAGCATTTTTTTTCTTTTTCTTTGGCTCAGTTATAGCTTTGTAAAATATAAGAAGATCTCTTATTAATTATTTTTAATACCCAGATAGTATCGTTTGTGGGTAGGAGGGGTGTGCTTTCATTTAAATGTGGTCCCTTTATTGTAGGCATCATCTCAGGTGGATCAGATTCAGCAACAGAGTTATGGAAGGAACTCCCCATTGTCTTCCTCTAACCTGAATGTATTTAAGGATACCAGTGAGTCTTCATATGTGAAAGGTAAAATATGTGTGCATAGTAGGCATACAGTAAGCAGAAACAGAATGTCCTGTTTTTCAAAAACGTTGCTTTTGCCAGCAGCTAGCAACGTAAACAATGTGTTGGACTCAAAAAAACAGGCTTTGAATCAGGTTTGATAGGTGACCACTGATAGTATAAATATTTTAATCCCTCTAGGTGCATACTTTCCCACCTCAGGCAGTTCAGAAGGAGCAGCTTTTTTAAATAGCCAGAATAATGACATTTTAAGATCCACAGTCTTGGATAATGTGGAAAAGGTAAGTTGATTTACAAGCATTAAACAAAATCCTTTATACAGAAAACATGCCTAAAACCTTAAGTGTGATGATTGCCTCAGCTAAGAAATGCCAGTGATTCCTAATGGTGGCCTCCCAGCTGTTCCCACTCAATTTCTTGTCTGGTGATGGAGGACAGAGCTGTGTAGGACACACAACCTATTCTGCATCTGCTGGACTAGGCTACTTTCTCAGGTGTAGTGGAGGATACTGTCCCATTGCCAGAGCTGAACTAAAAACCTAATCGCTGTTTGCTACCATCTGTAAAATGGAATGGGAAGAAGATATCACTTTGTCGTTTGCTTTAGACAGCAGAACATTCCAGATCAGCCCTGCTTTAAGCATACGTACTTGCTGAGTGAGTTCAGATTTCTGTACAAAATCTCTGTAGGAGAAGGAGAGCCTTCAGAGATGTAAGAAGACCTCTGGAGAAGTGGCTGCGATGACTGATTCCTCTGGAAGAAGCAGTGTAATCTCAAATGGCAGGACAACACCTTCAGAAAATATTTCTGCTTTTCTGGATGCTGCAAGAAAGGTTTGGTCTCTCAACAGACTGTTAGATCTTTACTCTACACATTTATATTATCTGTATCACTAATATTTCAAGTGTTCAGCCCTTAGCTTGTTCTAGAATAATGTATCACATCTCTTATATGGGCTTTTTTAGAAAGGTATGTGCAGACAAATCTATGTTTGATTGTTGATAGACTTCTCCTTTGAAATCAATACTATCAAGAAGAACATCAGTACATATTGAGAGCAAAGAAGATGGAGAAGTGAAAGAAAAAATAGAGTATCCAGATGGAAAGGTAAGGAATGTTAATTATGTGTTGTCAAGTCAATTCTGACTTATGGTGACCCTTTTCAGGGTTTTCTCGGTAGAAAGTACTCAGAAGTGGTTCATTCTTCCCCTTTTCTGGGGGTGTTTCGGGATTGGACAGCTTGCTCAAGACCACAGAGACTGGCTCCCCTTGCAGGAGGCACAGTGGGGAATGAAACTCCCAACCTCTGGTTCCACAGCCAGATACCTAAACCACTGAGCTATCCAGCCAGGAGTTTTAAATACATATTAAAGAAGAAAAACATTAACCTGTATCAAGCATGTATATGCAACATTTCCTGTGTTTGCATTCAAATCACCTGTGATTTTTCATTGTGGTCTTTCTGCATCACATGTGTATGTAATATGCCTTCCCAAATCCCTGTTTTACAAATTTCCAAGCTAAAAAATTGGGGGCTGGATTATTCAAGCCATCTCTCAATATCTTGGAATTGGATCACCTTGCAAAAAGAAATTGAACTATTTCAGTTGTTGGGGAGAGCCTCCAGATGTACAGTTAACAAAATGAAATGGAAAGTTCTCAGCTTCATGTGTGAAAAAGATGTCATGTCTTTTTGTCTGAAGCAGCTGGTATTCCAGCAACTCGATTTTTGTTAAAATACTTAGTAGCTATGTTGCAACGTAACCTTAAGCAACCAGTCTCTTTTAATTTTAACAGATATCTGAAGCAGCAAATAGCCAGGTGGGAAAAATTCAACCAATAGTGGTTAGGTAGGATTGTGACCTTAAAGATGAATGTTAATAATTTAATTATTTGTTTCAGACTCTTATCAATTTTCATACAGTATTGCAGATGGGCAAACTCAAAAAAATGAATACTGTGAATTGTAGTAAAAATGAAGAACTGCCAAGTCCACCATTTATTAAAATTCAAGCAATAAAGATTCCAGATTTGCAAAATTATTATAAGGATTAGCAGCTCAGCCAACAAGTTACAACCGGTAACAACATAGGAACTGAAATTTGGCTTTCATTGGAGAGTTTGGCAGAAAAAATTGACAAGCATCATGAACTTCTATTTAGCACTCCTAAACCCAAAGATATCACTTGTATTTCTAGTCCTTTTCTATTCAATATTAATCGAATTTGAATCTGGCACTGTAAGAGATTAATTCCCCAGAGCTTCCCCTTTGTTTTTCTTCTTACTCATTCTTTATTTTTTGGCAATAATAAATATAAGCAATTTTAAAGCCTAGAAAACAAAATGACTTTTTGATTTGGAATGTTTATTTATTGGTAAATTGCCTAAAACTGGAACGCCATTAAAAGAACAAATAATAAAGGCTAAAGCAACTTTGTTCCAAATTTTACAAGGGTTGCATTGAATGGTGATCCCTACAGTTAAATGAAAATCTGTGTAGGACTTCTGAGTCTCTAACCCTGTTCAAGAAGAGGAGGAAGAAGGTCTTGCTTCAGAAAATCTGCCTTAATGTTGGTTCAACAGTTGCTCAATTCCTCCCTCTCCTTCTCCATGCCCCCATGTGTATTTTTGTGTGTGTCCTTGTTCTGGAGCGCACGGTGGATTAGCCACTCCTGGCAGGAGGCAGGATGACAAGCCTCCCTGCCAGGTCAAAAATTGGCTAGTCCGGCAGGAGGCAGGATGACAAGCCTCTCTGCCAGGTCAAAAAGCGGCTAGTCCACCGCAAGCTCCGGAGTGATAGGAAGGGAGCCCGGAGCCTGCAGCAGCAGCGGAACGGTGAGCAGACAGCCTGGCCCCAGGGCCTGGCCCTTGTTATGATGAGGATGACAAGCCTCTCTGCCAGGTCAAAAAGCGGCTAGTCCACCGCAAGCTCCGGAGTGATAGGAAGGGAGCCCGGAGCCTGCAGCAGCAGCGGAACGGTGAGCAGACAGCCTGGCCCCAGGGCCTGGCCCTTGTTATGATGGTGATAGGAAGGGAGCCCGGAGCCTGCAGCGGAACGATGAGTGGTCAGCCTGGCCCCAGGGGCGGACCCTTGTTATCTCCACCTGGAGGGGGTATTCGTATACAAATACGAATACCCCCATCTCTAGTTGTGATGGGGGGGGGAAGGCATCACTTAGATGTTGGAGGAATTGAGGTAGTGTTGGATTTTACTGGTTCTTAGAGGAGCCTCATGGCACAGTGGTGAAATTGCTGTACTGCAGCCAAAACTGTGTTCACGACTCGGGGTTCATTCCCAGGTAGCTGGCTCATGGTAGACTCAGTCTTCTGTCCTTCGGAGGTTGGTAAAATGAGTACTCAGCTAGCTGGGGGGGGGCAATGTGTAGCTTACGTAATTAACTTGTAAACCCCGCAGAGAGTGCTTTAAATGCTGTGGGGCGATACATACGCGTAGCCTGCATAATTAACTTGTAAACCCTGCAGAGAGTGCTTTAAATGCTGTGGGTCAATATATACGCAGCATGTTTCCTTTTTTTATTTTTTTATTTTTTGTATTTTTATTTTGTTTTATTTACTTGCACACAGTGGTACTAATTGGAGAAGCTCCCTACAAATACAAAGACAAAATAACTAACCAGTCAATAGCATGAAGCCTTTTTGGCATTGTGATCCTGTTTGTAGATACGAACTCGTTTTTAAACCATAAACATTTTTGTATTAAGCAGCAAGACTAGTAATCATAGCTACTTGGAAACCTGGGGCATATTTCACAGTCTAACAATGCCTGGTTCAAATCTGGCAAGTAATCTTAATGGGAAAAAATGACTTAACTATAGACTCTGAGAATGCCTCATGATCAACTAACTGACTTGCTGGATACATCAGAATGGTTAAGAATTTTCTATACCTTGGTTCAGTCCAATCCAAATGGAGATTGCAGCAAAGAAATCAGAAGACTGGCACTTGGAAGGGCATTTACGAAAGAATTAGAAAAGATCCGTCAGTATGAGGTTATGCTACTAGAGACTAAGACAAGACTACCCATATTATACCCCATATTGAAAGCTGGACAGTGAAGAAAGGTGACCAGCATTAAAATCTGTTCATTTAAACAGTGTTTGGGGGGGGGGCTTTATGGATACAGTGGACTACCAGGAAGATTCTTGGTCAAATTTGGCTCTTGGTCACATCAAACTGGAACTCTTATTAGAAATTAAAATGACCAAACTGAGGATACTGTAACTTGGACATACCATAAGAAGGCAAGAGCCACTGGGAAATACTATAATGTTAGGAAAGGATGAAGGTAGTAGATAAAAAACGGCCTAAAATGAAATGGATTTGACTCAACAGAGGAAGATGTGGCCTTTGGTTTGTAAAATATGAGCAAGATAGGGTGTTTTTGAGGCATTTAAACAGTGTTAGGGCTTATTTTCAGGTTAGGTCTTATTTTCAGGGAAACAGTAGATTACAGAATCACATGCTTCCCCTCCTTCCTTCCTTTTTCCTCATGGATTCTGACCACCAGCCTTATCCAGTGTTAAGGCTGATATTAACCCTTTATTTGGGCACTGTTTATATTCCCAATAGGAAATAAAACCAGAGTATGAAGTAGCATAGCAAACCTTCAAGAATGAAGATGTGGTTTATGTTAATTCCAGTTTAATGTTGTATTCTTTGGTGGTGGTGATATATGCATGTGTTTAACTCTTTGCCTGCCTGCATCTTGTCTGCTTCATATGTCTTGCCTGTCCTTAGCCCCTTTCCAGCCATTTAAGCTCAAACTCTATATTTGCACAGGTCAGTGTACATTTCAAATAGTATACAGGGAAAAGTGGCTGGGAACATCAGTGCTGTTATGTAACACTCTGTACTGTACATTTCATATAGTATACAGGGAAAAGTGGCTGGATATAAACAAGACAGAAAAAGAGACTGAGATTATGGAAACTTTGTGTGCTAAATGGGCTAAGCAACTCTTCAAAATTTTGCTATAATGATACTAATAATAGCAAAAAAAGATGTGTGTATCATGTAGTTAGCCTCTGCAATTTTGTGTGCTGTTATTTAATAGATATTAAATGTGTTGATTAAATACCACATGTTTGGCACTGACAAGCCATAGAGGAAAGTTAGAATTTGTACAGAGTCTCAACGCCTGGTTGTGCTGGAGTACTAGCAAGACAGCTGGTTTCACGCAGCACCTTTGCAGAAAATGTTCTGCAAGAGTGTGTTCCCCATCTGCTCATGGAGTGGTCTTGGATGATTTCCCAGGAGCTCTCTGCATGAAACAAAGCTGACATCTTGTGGCGCTGGCATGCATGCAATGGAGGTCATGTTATGCTGATATACAACTGCTGCTCACATATGTCTCTGCCATATGGTAGTTCATCAAAGTGCTGTTTGGGGCACTCCGGGTAGAATTGGAAGTCTTGAGGGGGGACACTGATTATGCTGATTTGCAGAAGAGAATTTTCTGTGCAGTTTGTGCCAGTTACAAATCTTGAAAATGAATGGCAGAGGGATGACTTTCATACGCTGAGGCTTTTAAAAGAAATTTTGTGGATGATGTTCAGGCTCCTGAAAGGAGCTGGATAATTGTTATTTTGAGGCAAAGACTCTTCTTTCCTTGCTTGTCGCTTCTTGTCCTAACACACTAAAATATATGACCTCCTTCAGAGGTAGATCACACTGACATACACCCCTGCTTGCTCTTTCGTTGTCCGGCTGGGATATACTCAACTGCAGGCATACTCAATCTGATCTTGTCTTTATGCATGTGTATTTATTTATTTATTTATTTATTTATTTATTTATTTATTTATTTATTTATTTATTTATTGCCTGTCTGTGGCCTGGGCCGGACCGCGGAGACAGACCTTCCACCCCCCTACACTCACTCCCACCCCCCGTTGTTTGTTTGTTTGTTTGTTTGTTTGTTTAATCCTATTTGTACCCCCCTAATCTGATCAATACGACCAGTCTAAATGTACTGTAAATGTGCAAAAAAGCAGCACAATAATGGGGATGGGAGAGAAGAGAAAAACAGGAACAAAAAGAGATACTTTGCTGTAAATAGGAAAGCAAGGTCATATCTAAGCTACAAACCTGTACTGTATCAGATTTTTAATTTTAAAATTTATTGGTGAAAACAAAATAAAAATAAAGAGTAAAAATAAAAGACAAAAATATGATGGGACTTTAAAGATTGCCTTTTATGTTTTTTAACGTGAGCTTTCATGGGCAAGTCCACTTCATTAGACCTAGTTTAAAATGCAGTTATTTAAATGTAGCAGCAAATTAATTGTTCCTCTTAGAATTCTTGGACTTGGAGCTGGTGAAGGGGGTTATAGTTTTCCATTTGACATCACTTCTCTTCACAGAAGGGATGTGTTTGCATTGGCAAATCAGCCTGAATCAAATTATTGCAGCCAAAGGTCCCTTGAGGATGGTTCCTCTCATTGTTCTCTCAAGTCTTTATAAAGTAAATGTGCTGATAGCATAAGGACAGTAGCAATCTCTTTACCTATCATGGATCATGAGGACTGAACTACATCCAGGACCAGTGTAAGATGTTTTTGTAGTCTGGACTTACAACATTTAAAACATTTAAAATACAATAGAAATTCAACATTTAAAATACAATTAATATATATATAAAATTGCCATCGGACCCACACCTAATATTATTTCAGTTAAAAGCCTTCTGGAACAGGACATGGATGGTGCCCCTTCCCCAAACTATCTAGAGAAGACCAGCTAAAGCAGTGGTTCCCAACCTTGCACCTCCATATGTTCTTGGACTTAAATTCCCAGAAAACCTGGCCAGCAGAGGTGGTGGTGAAGACTTCTGGGAGTTGTAGTCCACATCTGTAGGCCCAAGGTTGGGGACCACTGAAAAGGATTCAATGGTGAACCCATTACCTCAGGCAACAAAATATCTTCAGCTGTTCCTCAGTTCACACATACTTGCTAGAAGATGGGCTTGGAATAATCCGAGGGCCAAATTCATTTGCAAACCAAGTGCATGGAAGTCTCTTTATCTTTTGTATAGATGTGTCCTTCTAGAATTAAACTTAATTCTAAATGTAAGCTCACTCAAATTCCAGTCTCAAACCTTTGTGTGTAACTTTGGCTTGTGTGACCACTAAGAAGGTATATCAATACAACACATGTTGTATCCAGGTGAACAACAAAGATACATTTTGATATTCTTCTTCCTAGTGCCTATGTTTTCAACCATTTTGCCAAAACATAGCGTATCTTTACTTTTTAGGAGAGTGTTCTTTAAGCAAAATATTCCAGTTAAATTTGAAATTTTGCTAAAAGGGGTGGGAATGGGCAATCTGCATACAGCCCCGGTTTCAGACATCTTTGTTTTTAAGGTAAAACAGCTTTTAATGGACGGACGCCGAATTACTACTTACCCCAATGGCACAAAAGTGGAAATTGGTGCTGATAAAAGGACAACTGTTGTTAATTATTATAATGGAGATATTAAGAAGATCTTACCAGATCAGACAGTGGTATGTGGATTTATGTATTTCCCTTGGTTTCAAGCATGATTTGTAACCGTGACTGGGCGACTACTCAGTTCTGATTAAGTTAATTTAGGGCAGAAAGAGAAATGAATAGTTGAGTTGAAACTGTGCTGAATAGCTTCCAGAAATGTACTGGTGCCCTCATTTAAGATTTCTATGTTCTGTGATTTATCGATAAACAATTAATAGGCTACTGTCTTCCCCATCTCCCAATGCATATTGGCAAGGGTGTCCATGTGCTGTGTTTAAAGAAATCAATGTCAAAGAAACTCAGCTCCTTCACCTAAAATGCTTGAGTTCTGTGGTCTCTAGGCCCAATTTTCTTCAACTCATGCGGCTTATGCTGGATATGGAAAAAACAAAGAGCAATTCATACCTTTTCCCATTGACTTCTGGATATTCCACATGGCACCTTACCTTTGTATGCGTCTGCAAATTGCATGCAGTTGTATATCAAAACATGAGTGGGGCTTTTATTTTGAAGTGTACTTGTAGTATGTAAATCTCCAGGCTTGGGGCCAGGGGGACCTGTTTTTGCTAACTTGTCCTAGAATCTGCTGTATCCATGTGCATTTTAATGCTGACATGCTGGTGTTTCTCTCTGTAGCCCTCACAGATCTCATAGAAATCAGTATCTGCAACAATCTGTTGTACAATCTACACTGCCAGTTGTCATTTATTGCTTTCAGAGAGGTAGTCATATAAGCCTGTTTCAGTATGTATAAAAAAATGTAAACAAGTTGTGATAATTCTAAAATTTAATAGATTTATTTCAATGTGAAACCCGATGCATTTAGAATTCTCTCTCCCCCCCCAATATGTGATACGAATGGTTAGAGGAATTAGATTTTAATCTACAGAAGATCACATTGAAATAAATCTGTTGATCTTTCAGCTACCACAATGTTTTTGTTTTTATTTTTGTTGTAGATTTATTGTGTGTGAGAGAGACAATAAGTTCCAAATCAAAGAAAATCTTCTACAATTGTTAACAATGTTGTGCTCAAGATGTTTGTTTGGAGCTAAATGATAAGTGACTCATATGTCTCATTCTTACTGCAGATTTATTATTATGCAGATGCACAAACAAGCAGAACTGTTTTCCCTCATGGCTTGGAAGTGCTGCAGTTCCCTAATAAACAGATTGGTAAGTGATGCTGCCATGAACCTGAACTAATTTGAGGGGCTACAGTTACAAATACGTATGCCTATTAAATAATGAAACAATGCAACTTTTTTTCCTTTGATGTGCACAGATGGTTTATAGGTAAATCACAGAATACAGAAATCTTAAATGAAGGCACTAGCGTATTTTTTGCTTCATTCAGAGTAAAGGTGAAGCTACATTATTGATAGGGAGCCAGTTTTTGTGGGCTGCCTTTGAGTTGGTTGGGGTTAATTTGAGTGATCTAATCAAGTCTGATGCTTCACACAGAAATTGCTCCTGTAGCCCATCTTTGCCTTTTCTTAAAGGACTAGTTGAAAAACTTTCTGCAGCTGAAGCCACCGCCATGGATTCAACTGTGGGAAGATTCTTGACCAGTCCTTTAAAACAAGGCATAATTGATGTAGCGCATCAGCGATAGTCCATTACACAGTCTATTTTTTTTTTCATTTCACCTACCCTCCCTGCAGCTGAAGCCACCACCATGGATTCAAATGTGGGAAGATTCTTGACCAGTCATAAAACAAGGCATAATTGATGTAGCACATCAGCGATAGTTCATTACACAGTCTGTAATATTTTTTCATTTCACCTACCTCTGCCAAGGACCTAAGTGGCTCACATATTAAGTCATTTCAATGTAGCATATAAATAAAACTAATAATAATAATGATATTGACAAATTCAAACTAGAAAGGTTGCTTTGGATCAGTTCCAGCAGTCGCACATGATGGAACTAATCCAAACCAGAACAATCCTACCTGCACTAAAAAAAAGCAGAAGCCCCTGCCATGGGATCAGAAAGATATGGATAGGACTGTTCTGAGAGTGGCTGGTTCACTCCAACAAATATATTGTCTGATTACCATCCATAAGATCAAACCAGTCCATTCCTGTAGCAGACCAAACAACAGGCTAAATGCCTGTGTAGCAAGCACTTACTTTAGGCACTTCACAGTGAGACAAACCTAAGTTGAAATTCAAGCTATACCATGAAGCATACTGGGTTGCACTGGAGAAATTTGCATAGCATATCACAAGATGTCACAGAAACATTACAGTGCCCTTCAAGAAAAATTCTCACAGTGGTTTGTAGATGTAGGTTTATCCAGAATGAGATTATGGACATCACTGTTAAAATGTACAACACTGGAAATTATTTTCTCATCTCAGTTGTATCAACAAATTTTCTCACATGCTCCAGAGAGAAGTCGAACACATTTGAACTATTTTCCAAGTCATGATCTGTTGTTTTGGTTTTTTTCCCTGTGCCAACTTACACAGGTTCCATTTATGCAAAAAAATATGTTTTGATTGGGGAGTACATCAAGGCCAGTTTGTATTTCTTCTAGAATGTATGCTGTCTAAATTTTAATTTTTAAAAGTGTTGTTAGTTGTGTGCATCTCCAGTGACGTTGTGTATGGGAAAGTATAAACCTCCCACATGGGCCTTGAATCATATATCTGCAAAACTTGAGCACCTATTTCAAGCATACAAGATGGGATAGGATGCTGTTTGGGTAGGTGGGTGTTCAATAAGATAATCACTTATGTATGTATTTTATGCACTCTCTATACCTGTGAAGAAGCCATGGCCAATCAGATTTCTAAGGAGATTGTTGTGGTGTCCTTTACTACAGAAAAATACTATCCTGATGGTACTGAAGAAATTGTGTTTCCAGATCAGACTGTGAAACTGCGGTATGACGGAGGTCTTGAAGAAACTCTTTTTCCTGATGGCACAGTAGTAAAAGTAGAAAAGTAAGTAATAAAGGGAACTTGAACCAAACATAGAAAAGGGGTGATTCTTTGATCAAAGGGTTATGTCAACATAATCTTAACACTAACGAGGTTAGAAAGTTTGATGGAGTTCTGAAGGGACAAGGCAAGTGATGTGTGAGAAATTTTTTAATCCCCCGAATTTCCCCAAAATCAGCATATTTTGACTCTTGGGTTTTATCCAAATATTCACTTTCTCCTGTTTAAACTATCTATAGATGTCAAACATGGAGTGGAGCAATAATTCTCACTTAGTACGATCCTGTCATATTATAAAATGAATTTCCACCAGAGCTCCCAGGTCTTTTTCCATTCATTTATGTTTGGGAAATAGGTAACAGAGGAGGTTTGATGTTATACTAAATGGTTGCTGAACCTTGAAAGCAATGCGTTTATGATTTATGGATAACCAAACTTCAGAAACACTATCAGTTTCCATCTCATGAACAGTAATGAGCAAACCAAAGAAATTGCAGCTGTTGGGTCTCATCCTCCTTTGAAAGAGTTTGCTCCACTGAAAGGGTAACCTGCTGTATTTAAAGCACTGCCGCTCCAGATGTAGTTGAACAACTCTCATTATTTTGTGGAACTGAATTTTTCATGTAATAATATATTTGTACTGGTAACTTGAGGCCTGTTTCACAGGACGTAATTTATTTCTGTGTTACTGGTTTTCAGATATATTTCCTACAGCATATACAGTATTTTTTTTATTGTTGAAAATGACTTTCTGTGCTTCACCTTGAAAGAATGTTTCAAAACAAATGCTGTTTAGTGACCTCTAGTTACGATGTCTAGAGATTCAAAGATGCAAGGGGGAAGCCAGAGTTAAGAAGCTTAGTTAAAAGGGAGGGAAAAAGTGGTGGACTAAAAGTTGGCTCACAGTTTGATGATTAAATATATTCTCTGCAGGTGAACTGTGGATTCTCTTGGGTCTACACATCCCTAGATGCAGCTAGTACTTTAGCTATGTGTAGCTAAACTCCCCTTCTGAAATTCCCTTTAACAGAAATCTGTTCCTCAGCAAGCATAGGCAGCAACAGAACTGAAGATGGGCTTTAATGAAACAGGATACATTGGCTGCATTCTTAAAATTTGAATTTGCTGATTTGCAAAATGTCCTCTTCATTCCTCTTTCCTACTCCTTTCAGGAGGCTATCTGTAAAAAAAAAATTGGGGGGGGGAGAAACCCTCAGGTCTGTTTGCTGATTAATGAGACAGATTAAAGTGACATTCATTGCAGTGGCCATGGAAGACCAGGGATGACCTGTATGGGAGACTCAGTTGCCTCTATTAGAGATGGGAGTTGGTGCAAGATAAACTCCTGCCCCTTTTGCTGCTCGCTTCTCAAATATTAAGATGAATAAATTGTCCTCTGTACACTGGAGGAGTTTGTGCTTTTATTGAATCCAGCATTTTAACATATTGTCTGGACTTTTGTAGGTGTTCACATAACGTTTGTGTGACTTGCCATGGCTGATTTGCAATGCCAGGTCATGGAGAAAGCTAATTTTTGCTGTGCCCGTCTCTACAACATTTGGGACTCTCTGCTTAATGATACCAATTACCCTAGAGCTATAGATTTGTACAGTCGGTGTGCATTTTGCTTTCCCTAAGTTCCAAAGCCCCAGAAACAGGACACTTGGGTGGGTGGACAGCTGAACTGGACTCATGTGTAGAGTGCTTGCTGTTAGGTTGCCCATTGGTGTGAACAAAACTATGGGCACAAGTGCTTTTGATTGTGGTGTTTTATTTATTGCTTTGCAGAAGTGGTGTTAAAACTATCCGATTTCGTAATGGGCAAAAGGCGATTCACAGTGCTGTGTCCACAAGAAGGGAGTATCCTGATGGCACTATAAAGACTATATATCCAAATGGTCAACAGAGAACCAAGTATTCCTCAGGGCGGGTTCAAATCAAAGATGAGAGAGAGACCCTCATGGCCGACAAGAAGTAACTTATTCCGCTGGGCAGTGCTCCAAGAGCCATGTCATGTTATACTTTATTTTTATGTCATCTTTTTATCAGAAAGATCTTTTAGGGTGACTCACAATGGCTAAAATACAGATGTAGCTTTCAATTTACAACAGATTAATTTAACTGTTGTTAATTTAAGTTAAAGAACTGCTTCATAGCTCAGCGGTTTAGGTATCTGACTGCGGAATCAAGGGTAGGGACTTCGATTCCCCACTGTGCCTTCTTGATAAGGACTGGACTTGGTGATCCATAGGGTCCCTTCCAGTTCTGCAATACTAATGATGATGATGAAAACTATGGCTTATCAGTAACATCTTTTAAAAAGCCAGGCAGAGAAACACCATTAAGGTTAAAAGAGGAAGGTCAGCTCTCATAAGAGGTTTGGTGACAGGTCTGTCAGAAGAAGTGAAAGACGGAGACCACACACACACCTCTTTGAGTTCCAAAGTCTAAGTGTCATCATAGAAAACACTTGGTCTTGCCTTCCCACCAGCCTGCTCTTAGATAATGATGGGCTGTAGCGTAGAACCTGTGCTCTTCTGTCAGTTTCAACTGTTGGGCAGTCTTGCATGGAGGCAGAAAATCCATCCGTCAGGTACCTTTAGCCCAAATAATTTGCAGGTTTGAAAGTGAAAACCATCACCTTGAATTTGGCTTGGAAACACATTGGGAACAATGAGAAATAAATACTTCACCTAAGCAGTCCCCACTCCCACCAGGGTTTCCTGTAGGTATTAGAAAAGATAGGGAACAAAGTGGAAACTTAAGTCAGCCAATCATCCAGAGCATTTAACAGTGCTCCCTCTGTACATCTTTTCTACCTAAATAAGACCAAGCCCAGTTCAAAATAATATCACCTCTCTCTAATCAAGCATGACAGATTGGAGTAGTATTGTAGCTGATAATATGGGGCACAATGAGAGGCAGAGTTTGGAGAAATTTCTAGCCTTAATTTATTGAGGATTTGGGGAGCTGTAGTAAAAAAAACTTCCGAGCTCCATTCAGGAACCCAGTGGGTCTAGTGGAAATCACCCCCCCCCCATCTATTAGTGCAGGTGACCAAGCAATTTGAGTCCTAGATGGGAACCGCAATTCTGACTGTAATGGATCTAAATAATCTGTTCATCAATAAGCACTTGATGTTTTATCACTGATATCCACTCAATCATCTCATCGGTCCCTCCCACTCTACGAATCAGAGTCCAGCCCCTCTCAAGAAGGCTCAGTGGGGAATCAAACTCCCAACCTGCAGCCAGATATCTAGACCACTGAGCTATCTTCTTTTTTTAAAAACAAAAGACATTAAAATCAGCGTAACAATTACAACACACTAGGCTTGCACACAAATGTTTCTATTATTCAGTGATTTAATAATCTTAATGTAAATAAACAAAATGTGTAAACAACTGATCCTTTTTCTTTGTTTGCTGGAGTGGTGTGAGGGTTAAATGACTTATCTGAAGTGTTCAATGTTGTGGATGGGTGAAATTAGACAGTTAAATGAACATCTCCCCCAGTAAATGTGGCACATTAATTTTAGTTACACAAGAAGAGCCCTGCTGGATCAGGACAAGGACCCATCTAGTCCAGCTTCCTGTATCTCACAGTGGCCCCACCAAATGCCTCTGGGAGCACATGAGACAACTGGATACCTGTATCCTGATACCCCTCCACTGCATCTGGCATTTGGAGGTACCTTCCTTCTAAGCCTGAAGATTGGACATCCCCATCATGGCTTGTAACCTGCTTCATCTTGCTATCATGAGATCACACATTTTATCTTCTCATATTTTAAAGACCTATGCCAGGTCTGTCCTCTTCTTTATATATTTGGACTGGTAAAACATTGGTTTTGGCCAAATTCTTGATACTAAGCACAAAAGAATAAGCTGATTGTTCATGAAGATACAAACAACCCATCTAATATATCTACTTTTTAAAAGCCCATGCAAGAAGCTAGCATTCATCATAGTTTTAGGGTTGCACAAGATGCACAATAATTGGTCTCACAAACACACAAATGTCCCACAAGGCAAACCTGCTCCTCACTTTGTTGTGACAATGATAGTGGTTTATTTTGTGTGTGTTGTGTTTGTACTCTGTTCAGCAAGGATGAACCAGGTCATCCTTACTTCCATTTCTGCTTGTAGTAGAACTTATTTTTGACGTGCATAGGGCAGGGGTGCCAGTTCCTTAGATAGTGCAGCCTGCAATTTCCATCATTTTAACTAGCATAACATACACAATAAATGATGGGAGATGCAATCCCACAACATCTAGTGTGCCACACTTTGCTTGCCTTTATACAGAACATGGTATATATTGTGCAGTGTATTGCCCCCCTGTTGAAAACGGAGGAGGATTGCTCAGCCCATTTATCTATAGGTTAAATAAGCTTTTATTTAATTTCTGGTGTTTTGGTTGCAATTCTTTGCTCACTAATTTGTGAATTTCTTGAATGACACTTCTGACATTGATGCCATCCCTAGATGCTTCAAGGGCTGCATCGTTGAAAGGAAATATAAGTACAAAGTCACCTACTCGAGGAAATGGCCTTTTGTCCTTGTCTGAGAGAAAATATGGCGGGATAGATGGCTTGTTCGTATAGAGCTCAGTTGAATTAAACCAGTGGGTAGAAGGAGCTGGCTTACATAAGGAATAATCAGTTCTTAGCATCTGTTTGCTTTGAAATGATGGCTTTGATTGGAGGGGCATTTTTGGCATGTTCATCTTTTCACGTAACTGAGAAGTTAAGGTTTTCTTGGGGTAAGCACTGCTGGTTCTGCCAGTTGGGCTTTTTTTATGAACTTGTAAGAATGATGGGGAAGGAGAAGTAGTGGCTGACTTGGATCCTTTTGCACAAGCCAGGAAATCCAGCGAGACATCTGCCTGGGTATTCAGTAAAGATTGTGTTCGGCCAAAGCATGAAACTTTCCGATCTGGTCCCTGTTTTCTCCTCATAGCATCCTCTTCCTTATAGTTTAGCAATTCAATAATGTCATGGAGCAGCCTTCTCTTCACAATGGCATCAGTGGCACAGTCTAGACGCAAAGCTGGGCTGTGATTCACTTCTAGAAGCCAGGGTTTCATCTTGTCATCCACAAGAATATCGAACCCAAAGAGCTCAAAGCTATTAGAGGTAAATGGGACTGAAGGGGTGATGGCAAGCAAAGTCAGTGTGACAATGTGATTAATCCTCTTCCAGAGAAGCAGGTCATCCATGTGACAGCTACGTAGGTAGGCTCGGAACCGGCTGAAAGTCCATTTGCAACCGGAGCCAATTACATCTTTCTCCTTTCTGTACGAGGGTCCAAATTTATTGATGCTTGTGTTTGTCAAATGGGCATAGATGTTGTCTAAGGACTCAAGGTCAAATCTTTCTGTTGCAAACCTCACCAGCCCTTCTTCATAGGTGTAAATAGTGAGGGGACAAAAGCTTGTGACACAGACATAAAGCCGGAGATCCCACTTGTATCCAGAAATAAGCAAAGGGTTGCTGATGTATTTCTGCACTATGATCATGCAGTCATAGATGAAGTCTTTAATGTCTTGAAAAATGAGTATGCCCCTACCACGAGACCGGTCGACAGGTTTGCATATCCAGTAGCTCAGCTTTTTCCCTGGTATTTGCCTCTCCTTGGTGTATTCAGTTATAAACTTAATGTAGTCATTTGGCATGATGAAGGCAGGTGGACTGAACTCATAAAGGTTTGTTCCATAAATTCCCTTCATACGTTTGAGATGTCTTGCTAGATAATCCTTCCTGGTGATCCTGATGGTTTCTGGATGGTGATTGAGTCTTTGCCATGGTTTAATGTTCCGGTGGTCTATCATCCGAAAAGGGTGGTTCCGCCAGTAGAGGTTCCAGTCTTCATGATCTTGCTCATGTTCATCATATTCAATCCAGCCACGTTCCAATAAAACTTCCCGGACTAAGTTGGGAACGCTGTCTTGTAGCCGAAAGACCAGTGGCTTTGCTGTCTCTCTTGATTTAACTTCTTTTGCTACTGTAGAGTTCTCCCCCGCTGAAATATAAAGAGAGGGAAATGGGGCTGAAGTAATTAATGGCTTCAGTAGGTGTCGATCATTTCTATAAGGATTCTGCCCTGACTGCAATCTGAAACCTTTGCATAGAATTGATGTCATAATCTGTAAAGTGATATGAAACATTTGTCTTGCTCCAAGGCAAGGCAATGGGCATGCATTGCCAGTACAGTATTAAGGCAAATACAGCTTGCAGTTCCTATTGATATTAATGTATCTGGGCCGGGCCAGGGTGAGTCATGAGCAAGTCTCTGTAAACCGTGGGTCTTGCACACCAGCTGACTGGAGCTAGAGGACAAAAGGAAAGTCAGTATAGTGTAGTGCTAAAAATACCAAACTAGGATTTGGGAAATCCAGGTTCGACTTCCCACTGAGTTCTAAAAATTAATTCAGTGACCTTGAGTCACTCAATCTCTTTCAGTTTGACAAATATTAACCGTGGGGACTGCCTCTCTTGTTTTGCACCTATCAAGATATTAAGAACTTCCTCCATAAAGTACAGTATTCATGTATTCAGCTTGTGAAAACTAAAGCATTTGAATCTGCTAAAGACTTAAAAGAGAATTTTTTATAAACACGAAACCAAACCAAATACCTTTCCTTGGATTCCTTGCTTCAGCCAGATTTTCAGTGCTGCGAATATGCAAAATTAAAAATAGTCAAATATTGTAGATTGATAAATGCCCAAAAGCATAAAGAACTTTATGATCTTCCATCATTACAGTACAGTAGTTCAGCGATGCAGATACAGTGTAGTTACAGCTACTGCCCATGACTAAGTGTATGTTCAAGTTATAGAATCAAGGTTTACAAGATTGGTCATCTAGAGCAGCCGTTCTCAACCCCCTTTTTTGGCCAGAGCCATAAACACAATATGAAAGAAATACAGGCTGAATCAGGATTGTATGAGGCACATAATGAACCTTATAAGTTAGTGAGTGAAGAACTGTTTCCAGTCTGTGCCTTCCTTCAAATGTCCCAGGGCCTCCAAGGGGCCATGTGGCCCCTGTTGAGAATGGCTGATCTGGAGAATTTTGAACCCCGTCTTACCTTACTATTGATTATGCTGGCAAGAGCTCTTGGGAGTTGTACCTTTTTTAAATAAAAGCTACAACTCCCCTTTTTTAAAGGGAGTATTTTTAAAGGGTATTTTAAAAGCTTTAAAAAAAACACCACAGTTTAAAAAAGCCATTTTCTTCATATCAGCCCCCTTCAGGAGCCCAGTTTTCTCAACAAAGTAAAAGGAAATGTTGGGGGAAGAGTGAATGAGTGGGCAGTAGTTTTGGAATAGGTTTTCTTCCTCTCTGTCTGTTGTTCTGTGAAGGCCAGCTTGAGAGACCAGCCGAGGAAGGAAAACTTGAAGCATCAAGCAAGACTCTCCAGCTGCTAGAAAAAATGAAGAGTGAAAGCCAGTACCCCCCACTCAGTAAAACATAATATCTCTCTTGGACATTCCAACCACTGGCGCAGCTAGGGAAGGCTCAAACTGAGGTCTGGGCAGCTGCTTAGCCAGCCATTTCATGCAGCTAAAGAGTGATGTAAAAGACTTGTGTTGTCATTGCTAGCTAGGGCTTGTATTCTTGATGTTTCCCCCCATCTCCATCTTGGTTTACTAAGCTGTACACTACTGTGATGGACTCTCTGTGTGTGACTGTAGACAAATGCCTGCCTTTTTCTTACACGGGCTTTGAGGGATGGTCAGAATTAGCCTGCTATAATCTGTCTTTCACCCTACCCCAGCCTCATTTTTTTCTTTTTATTTGCTGGTGGGACGGTGCTTACACTGCCTGCTAGCCCTTCCACCATTGTCTGAAGTGTGCGTTTAGAAGTAAAATCCTCCTGTGTGTCTTTTTCTAAGTATACAAGACCTACCACATCCTTGAAATTGATGGTTTTGTGTGGACTCTACCACCACCTCAAATCACAGCCAGCTGTGTTTCCCCATTTACAGGAATGGAATTTATTTCACAGAGACCCAGAAATGGACAAATACCATCAATGATCCAAGCAAGGATCAGATTGGAATATCATCAGAAGGGCAAAATATGAATCTGTGTTCCTGTTTTTTTGGGGGGGAAAAGAACAGGTTGGGAATGTAGAGGTCTATACTGTATGTTCCTCCTAATGTTTAATTGAAGAAAAATACTTTTGCTTGCCTTTAACTCTTGTTATATTTTTTCCTCTCTTTCCTATCTAATGTTGATGTCCTGCCCTTCCACATCTAAAAATAGATTGTAAGTTCCTTAGAACAGGGCCCTGTATAGTTGTATGTATGCCAAGGACATGATGATGATGATGATGATGATGATGATGATGATGATGATGATGATGATGATGATGATGATGATGATGATGATGATGCCGCATTTCTCCCAACAAGGGACCCGAAGCAGCTCACAACATTAAAATGCACACAATTAAAAACACAATAGATTAAATATTAAAAGACAAATTAAACAATATAGAATTTAAAATAAAATTAAAAGATTAAAACATGGAAAAGATTAAAATTATCTGCTGAAATAGGGTTCAGGGACTCGGTTGTAATTGTTAAAAGCCTGCCTGAAGAGATGGGTCTTTAGCTTTAGTCTTTAGCTATACAAGGACATTGTATAGACTAACTTCATAATGACTCAGGGCTCCTAAATTCTTCACTGATATGATAACACTTATTATCTCTATAAGCTGACTGGATAGCTCAGTGAGTTAGGTATCTGGATGCAGAGTTAGACCCTGGGAGTTCATTTCCCCCATGTGTATCCCAGAGGAGTCAGCCTGTGTTGCCTTGGGGAAGCTTCACAGTCCCAAGGTACCTCCAGAAGAAGGGGAAGATGAACTACTTCTGAATACTTTCTACTTAGAAAAACCTGAAAAGGGTTGCCATAGGTCAGAATCACCTTGAAAATTATTGTTATCTCTATTCCACAAAAATCTTCACTGTTCAGACATGTAGGGAAAATCCAGTTGCAGCCATATGAGAGGACCAGGTTGCTTGCTGGCTTATTTATATATTCATTTATTTAATCTATATCAGTGATGGCGAACCTTTTTGAACCCGAGTGCCCAAACTGCAGCACAAAATCAACTTATTTATTTCAAAGTGCCAATACTGCAATTAAAACCCGAATGCTGAGGTTTTAGCATAGAGAAAAATGACTGGTCCTGCACTGCAAGGGTTAAATGCTTGGGTCTCCTCCCCATTGGCAGTATTAACAAATAGATACTTACTGGCCCTCCAATCCCCCATTGGGCTAGACCGGCAATGGTGGCCATTGCACCCCTCCGCTGGACCACTGCATCAGCAGAGGGGAGTGCCAAAATCTGGGATCGGAGGATGGGTAAGTATTTATCTATGGTGGCTTACGGCTCATGTGCCCACAGAGAGGGCTCTGTGTGCCAACTGTGGCACGCGTGCCATAGGTTCGCCATCACTGATCTATATTATTGCCCATATGTTTTTGTAAATTGTCGTTCTTTGTAAATCAAAGGCCAGAATCCTTTTGGACTTGTGCAGCATAGGTAGGCATTGTCTGCTCACTGACCATTGCGATACTCTGCTTCCTAAGTTCAGAAAAGCAATCACCTGCTTAGTTGTGTGCTTAGTTGCACAATGGCCAGCAAATCAGAAGGGGGGAAAACAAACCAGCTTTTTAAAAGTAATTATTTTGAAATTTTAAAATGGGAGACATATTAGCAATAACCCTATTGTCACCGCCCTATTTTATCGTTATAATCTTCTTTCCCTGTTACATTCCTGCAGAAAGTACTGGATCCCTGTATGGTACCATTTACATTATAAGGCAAGCTTTCACAAGAAAACTTTGCAAACCATATTTCCTTTGTAGCTGTACAAATCTGATCTTCTCCAGGGTTACAGCCAGCCTTTTGCCAGAGTGGCATCTTGATCCTTTCATGTCAAATTGGAGAAGCTGTCCTCCTTCCATTCTGAATGCTTACCCTTTGCTGTGAAACTGAGAATGTATATTTCATAGATTCTAAATTGCCATAGGAAACCATGGCACGCTGCACGCCACGCATTCCGGCATTCTTTTCCTTTGTTCTTCCCTTATTCTCAATAGAATATTCAGTGAAATCCTCATCTCAGACATTGTGCTATGTCTAGGTTCTTATTGTCAGAACTGTTTTTGAGATGATGTGCTTATGGAAAAGCAGCCTAGGCTAAGCCAAGAATTTCTGCTGCCTCAGGTGGAACACCAAATGACATCTCCCTCCCCGCTGTATTCAATTTGTGCAATGCCTAAGGCTGACCAAGTTCCTTTGGTAGAAGATTTCAAAAACTTGTCTTTCCAGAAATAAAAATGCAACCATTACAAAGGAAATTAGATTTTGCTACCCTTTCTTCACAGTAAACACTATTGAAGAAATGATCACATTAAAACAAGCATTGAATTAACACGATTTAAAAGCTATGTCTGAAAAACACAACACAAGGAAGTGCAGCACCCGCTATAAAGACCCTTGTCCAGCACTGCATCAGTGGTCAGTGGCTTCTTTAAATAAAATGTACTTGTCTGGAGTTCCAATAACCTGGGAGTACCAAGCAGGCAGGCTCATATGGGGAACTTTGGTCCTTCAGGCAGTCTGGACCAAAGTCCTGTGCTATAGATCATAACCATAATGTCTATAGGTTGTGGACTTTAGTGGCTATGCAGCAAATAAAGGTGTATAGAAAGCAGGACACGATGTTAAAGAAGCACGGGTAGACTTTATAAATAATAATAAAACTTTGGATTAAAAAAATGAAAGAAAAAGACTGGAAGGCAATTAAAAAAGTTGTCACAAGAGTTTAAGCAGATTTTTTTTCAGCAAAGGGTGGATGGCCACTTCTCAGTGATACTCCAGCAGTAGATTTCCTGCAGTGGAAGAAGGTTGGAGGAGGTGAGCTTCCAGTCCTACGATTTGGCGAGTGAGGACTTGGTGAAACTTTTCAGGGAGAAAATTGCAAATGGAGATGCCATCATTAAGGAGGTATGGCATCATCATGAGCAGCATACCACATGCAACAGAAAAGGGCATCCAGTGATGATGCTGGCATGTGGGCAGAATTTTAGAACTTTCCACTGAGGCTCTCCAGCATACACAGACCATGCACTGCCTCCAGTTAATAATCTAACAACTATATTCTGAATTAACTGCAATTGCGGAAGAGTTTTCAAAGACAGCTCCACAAAACAGTCGAAGTCCTGTTGCTTGCTGTAGTAAATCACACAATAGACATTCTGAATCAGTGGGGATTTGGTGAGTAAACTCTTCTGTAGGCTCCCTTGATTCAGTGGGCCTGCTCTAGTGCAATGCTATGCTAAGCACCGGGATTTCAGCCATTATGTAATTACGTCTAATGTGAGTACCTTGTGTGATGTAGTGGAGAGAGTAATGGACTAGGACTCAGGAGACCTAGGTTTGATGCCCTGGCTCTGCCATGGAAACTCTCTGGGGATTGGCAATGGTAAAAATAAAAACAGCTTAAATTCCTCACTCACCTTGAAAACCCTATTAGGGTTGCTGTACATCAGATGTGACTTGACGAGTATGTAACAGACTTTTTTATGTACTGTACTTACCAATTGTCAGAATCAATAATATGAAACCCTATTAGGGTTGCTGTACATCAGATCTGACTTAACGAGTATGTAACAGACTTTTTATGTATTTACCAATTGTCAGAGTCAATAATACAAATATAAATTCATTGCTTATTTATAGGTCTCACTAGCAATACATGAGTTACACATGAATCCTACCCCTAATCACTGTCTCATAAGTGCCCTATAGTGGATTCCTATCAGGCTGCTGATTTCAAACTGCAGCCTGATATGAAACTTTACAATGAGCCCTGGAGGTAGACAAATATGTTTACCAATATGGGGTTGAGTCTGAGTTTGCAGCTTGTCAATGGTTACTTCAGGGCCGTATATTTCTTGGGTCTCACTTCTCTCAGCCAGTTTTGTCCCCAGTTTATTTTTGCTTTCCTCCTCTCTTCTCTAAGCAAGCCACCTGCTGACCTTGTTCTAGAGAATTCACGTACCTTTCCCCCCTGGGAGCGTATCCTCTGTGGTGCTGGTTCTCCTTCAGCGTGGCTTTGGCTCTCCTGGTCATCAACACAACACACTGAAGCACAGCTCTGCCTCAGGGAGAGGGCATGAGCCGACATGGACTCTTCCCTTCCTTTGACTTTTTGAAGGTTGAGAGAGGAATCCCTGAGCTGCCAAAGCCAGCATCCGCTTCAGTGTTCTTGCCTGTCTGTTTTAAAGGAAATGTGGGTCAGGTCAGGAAGGTTGTTGCTTAGCAATGCAAAACAAGGGCAAACTTCTTTCACTGTTGCTACAAGAACCTCAAGCTTCCCCTCACACTGTCTGGCTAACCTTCCTCAAATCACGCGTATGTTTACCATCACTGTGAACTGTCCCCATGCCCCCCTTCTTTATGATGTAGAAAGTGTTTGCAGAAGCTCCTGTATTAGAACAACACAACTGAAACTGAGCCAATGTAGCTTAACAACAAATCTTAGGTACTTTTATGGGTGGTTTGATTTATATCCCGCTCATCTGGTATATGGGTGGCAGGGAGTTAAATACATTCCTAAGCAGTTCAGGCTAACAGAACCAGTCCACAACAGTCTTTTATTGGGAGGAGTGCAGCCCTGCCTCCTCTACCAGTTCCAATACTCCACACAAGTGAGCCAAACACAGAGTCCCACATCAAGGGTGCTGGATGCAGGTACTCATCTGTCCCCAGAGTAGTGTAGCCTGGGCACCTTCCCCTGCTACTCCCCTATAGTCACTGATGGTGGCAGCCACTGCATACATGCAGTTTTCTTCCTTGGAGGCATGGCCAAAATCTATATGGACAGGGCTGGGCTCACTGGAGTAGCAAGGTGTGGAAAGAGATTGGACAGGAGAAGGAGGACTGGCTCGCCAGTGTGGGATCTGGTGTCTGTGGGAACCTTGCTGAGGGACCGGTTGCCCCCTGCTGCTTCCTCTGATGGCATTGTGCTCTGTGCTGGTTCTCCAGTCACTGCGCCTCTCGCCGTCTCACCTTGTCCTGTTGTATTCGGAGTGCTTGCTCTGGTGGCATAAAGAACTCCTTCCAATGCCTGACATCAGGGTCCCACCGACGGATTGTCTCCCAGTTGGCCATTGAGCACTCCAGCAGCGCCAGTACATCCTGGGCCTCGAACGCCTCCCAGTCAACCATCCTCCTCTTCCTCCTCACTCTCCTTCTTAAATCCTCAGTCCTCCATGCTCACACATGTGGTTTCCAAGGTGTCATCTGCATTGCTGCTGCCAACACCCCAGCCCACAGGTGAACTGTGGGTCCAGAATCTTACCCTTACTCTCGAGGAGGTGGAGCACCCACTCTCACCAGCAGAGGGAGTGGGACCAGTCCCACAATCACCTCCAGAGAGAAGTGAGTTGGGGAAATCTTTGGTGGCTATATCTTTTTGAAACTCTGGTCCTGTGCTTCTAACCTCATCCAGATTTAAGGGATGAAGAGCTTTCTGTAGCTTTGAGGCAAGTGATGAGAAGGAGTTCACCTGCTAAATGTTCATGTGTCTGAAGGTGCAGAGGCAGAGGGGCAAAGGTGCATCTGCAGCCTTAGACATCGCTAATGGCGAAGGGAAATCCTATGGTACGTTTGAGGTGTAAGATCTGCTCCATTTCTTCTTTTCTTCATTTTATAAAGTTCAGCTAGCTTATGCTAATCAGTTATCCTTATGTTAATCAGTTATCCCAGAAAAGCCTGAGATGTTACCACAATTGTAACTTTCTTTAAATTTAGGTGGTGACTAAACAGAAACAGTAAGTTGAAAACAAATTATGTTGCCAGTTGTGAGAAGAAGAATGTGTAGTCCGAGTCCTCAGTGCGCTAATTGCCCCCTCTTTCTCCAGTGACAGATCCTGCCCTAACCAGCCGTGCAAGGTATTTTCCATAGCAAGCAGAAAAGAAGCACAGCCGTTTGGTCTATAAAAATCCAAATACTGGAGTTTGATATTACTCATAATTGGACTTCAGTTGCCTGTTTTTACCAACTCCTGCCAATGATAATTAATACCCAGCTTTGCTGATCTGGGGAATGCCATGTTTCTTGGTGCTTCTGCTGTCAAGCACCTGAGGAACCATTTGCCTTGGCTAAAGTCACTGGATAGTTCTTTGTCTAGACTGGAGGGAGAACAGCGATGTGTTCTATATCCCCAGTTATGAAAACTGATACTAGCACCTTTGGTTCTACAAGTTGGGAGTCTCTATCATCATCATCATCATCATCATCATCATCATCATCATCATCATCATCATCATCATCATCATCTTAGAACTGCAGAGCTGGAAGGGACCCTGTGGATCATTGCGTCCAGCTCCTGCCAAGGAGGCACAGTGGGGAACTCCTCAACACCTCTTGAGGCACTTTGACACAAACATTCCCATATACAAATTGCAATTTAGGGAGCAAGTTATTTTAAAAACTCCTTGCCAGCTGTTTTTTTTAAAAAAAACTTATGTTCATAGCCAAATAAATCAATTTTACATGTGTGTTGTGTCCGCCAACTTTTACATCAATTTAAATAATGCTAAAGTGTGGTTCATATGACCATTGTGATATTGCAATTTAGGGAGCAAGTTATTTTAAAAACTCCTTGCCAGCTAGGTTTTTTTTTTAAAAAAAAAAACTTACGTTCATAGCCAAATAAATAAATTTTACATGTGTGTTGTGTCCGCCAACTTTTACATCAATTTAAATAATGCTAAAGTGTGGTTCATATGACCATTGTGATTACAGCCTGAGCTATCCAGCAGTTTCTGGGCCTTTTGTTGAACTAGAGATCCCGTGAGTTTAGCATTTAGCCAGGAGAATTGCTTCAAGTCTTCTATTTCTCCCTCAGTTTCCACTTCTGTAATATGTAGCACTATGACGAGATTCAGAAGCTTCTGTGAAACTTTAATGAGCTGAAGCCATAATTCCACGGGCAAGCATAAAAGACTCTACATTCACTAGGGGGAATAACATAGTTCTTGTGAGCAAGAGATGCAGAACAGTGTAAAAGCAATTAATGAACTTCTGTTATACAGGGGGCTGGACGCCTCAATGCAGAACAGTGTAAAAGCAATTAATGAAGTTCTGTTATACAGGGGGCTGGACTCCTCAGTGGAGCCAGAGGTTGGGAGTTTGATTCTCCACTATGCCTCCTGTAAGTAGAGCCAGCCTGTGTGGTTTTGGGCAAGCTGCACAGCCCCAGGATGCCCCTAGAGGAAGGGCATGGCAAACCACTTCTGAGTTCTCAATACCTAGGAAACGCTGGAAAGGGTCACCATGAGTCAGAATCAACTTGATGGCACACAATCATTTTTCATTCTACAGATAAGAAACAGAGGCTGATTGGTTTTGGGCAAGCTGCACAGCCCCAGGATGCCCCTAGAGGAAGGGCATGGCAAACCACTTCTGAGTTCTCAATACCTAGGAATGCTGGAAAGGGTCACCATAAGTCAGAATCAACTTGATGGCACACAGTCATTTATCATTCTACAGATAAGAAACAGAGGCTGAGGAAGAGAAAATATCAAGCCTTTTTAGTCTTGAAATCAGGTCCAGTAGAGAGACAAAAACCCCTGGGTGACACTGTCTCCCGAGCTTTGTACAAAGTTTGTGTCCAGTAGCTTTTTACAGCAAACAACTGAAACGGAGAAGACAGAGAAAGAGTGTGGTTCCATCTAAGTATTCCAATTAGTACTGGTTTCACAAGCTTCACTGGAACAGTGGTGTATGAATTCAAAAGGTGATAAGAGCTGAACATACCAAAGCAGGCAACGATTGACACAGAGCTAAGTGTAGGCCTCCAAAATTACATGGTAAATAGAAATGCAACCTGTGATATTTGGCCTATTGCCCAGGAATCTTTTGTTAGGGACAATATTCTTTGTTCTCATTGGCTCCAAGGAGGACAGCAATCAGCTTGTGTCCACATGTAACAATCCGTATATATTAGCAACATGGATGCATGTGTTCTACTAGAACAGTGGTTCTTAACCTTGGGTTACTCAGGTGTTTTTGAACTACAACTCCCAGAAACTCCAGCCAGCACAGCTGGTGGTGCAGGCTTCTGGGAGTTGTAGTTCAAAAACACCTGAGTAACCCAAGGTTAAGAACCACTGTACTAGAATATTTATTATTTCTTCCCAGATACAAATTACAGTAGATATAAATTTGAAAAATATTTTTTTATTATCATCAGTGAAACAAATGGGAAAATCCATTTTACTGTTATATCTTCCTACAAAACAAAGTTCCTAAGGGCATAATGCATCGGTCGATATATCAGTTCTTTTGTGCCTTCTTGCCCACTCGTCCTACCACACACAGTCGATTTCGACATCGCCGGTACCCGTAGATAACCAAGGAAAATGCATGTGCAAAATAAAGCATAAGGCTGGAGCATAGGTTTGTTTTCTGTTGGTGACCTTGCTGGGCTAGAACTGGGTGTCCTGAGCCTTTTCTTGAAATTCGATTGGTTTCTCCTTTGAAGAGCTGAGTGCTGCAGGAGAAGTCTCGGATTCCAGGTACTCCACAATTCCATAAAGGACCATAGCTACTACCAATACAGCCAATACGATATACAGTTTGATATAGACACATAAGAAAGTGCTGTAGCCAAAGGCGATGACAAATCCCAGTGATTCCCATAGACGATAATTAGCAAATGCAGCTTCCTTGTGCTTTTCAAATAAATCGCTATAGAGAGCTGTAAATGTAAGGGGGGGAAAGGCTAGGTTAAATATTGAAAGCCAACATTCATGTAGGTTCTTTTCAAACGCATGCTGAGAACCTTTCTAGAAAAGTTTAGATTACAATAAAATGTTTTCTCATTAGGCAGGTGGTTAGTAGCACACCACTATTTTGCTAAAACCAACCAATCTCTCTCTATATATCCTATTCATCAAAGCCCTCTGTTTTGTGAATGTAGGATATTGTGCTTCTGTATCCATGCTTCAAAATGGCAGAAAATGGCTCAGTATTGCTGTGCAATATCATGCCCACATTGCCAGCAGGAGAAAGGATGTCAGACTATACTTAGTAAAGGGCAGCCTGAATGTTGACAACACCAATGGCAGCAGTCAAGATGGTCTACACAGGATACCCTCTCGTGCTCACTCCATTCATAAAGAGATGCCAAGCAAGGGGAAATCCTAGAACCTGACTCTTTTTTTCATCAGCTAACCACTTCTCACCTGAACCCAAAGCAATTGTCTTTTCAATTTATGTTAGATTTTTTAAAAAAAATATTGGGCAATTTGGGGTTACCTATTTCTGAATTGGGGATAACACAATTCTACTTTTAAATAAATTATAATTCGAAAGATCTTTATTTAAACTTCCCCCAAATTTTCACAGAACAAGAGCAAACTGTCTGCTACGGCTACGCCAAATATGGTGTAAGTCCAAAGCCCAGGTTCAAAGTTATATGTATATTTTGTTTGGCTTGTCCCTATTTTCAGAATTGCCTTGTCGAATGTTGATTCAGTCTGCTGCCCGATACCAGAGGTGTAACTATCGTGAACCTCTAATTATGACTCTCCACTGTCCCCCTAACTAGGCCTTTCATCAAGAAAGTAATAGCAAGCCAAGGATTTTCTCCCCCTTGCCTTTAAAACAAGGGTAGACCATTATACTTGAAGCAGCCCTTGGAGAAGATCAAACAGGAGAGATTTAGTACACTGCTGAGATACAAGGAAATTTCATGATTTGAAATCATAAAGCTGGAAATCCAAAACAGGATGCAGCCATGATGATTCACAGGGGTAAAATAAAATTCAGAGTCCAAAACCCTTATATCTTTACCTCTCTGGCCCTTAAAGCCATGCTTTCCAGCCTGGCATTTTGTTTGCAGTTCTCCATGGGTTGGAACAGCTAGCCATGTATTCAGACTTCCATGTACTCTTCCATTCCATTTCTTTTAGAATTCAATTTTATGAAAAGTTCTATAGCACTTGAAAGTTTACATATCAGGTACCTTTCCAATTTATCCTAATAAGGTAGGACCCACCTCCAGAACAGGGGTAAAGCAAGTGATGCACTCTCCATAAATATCCTCTAGGGGGAGTTCCTGATCAATATAAGATTTCAGATTCATGAAAAGGGTAATTGGTTGCTTAAAATCTGATAGGTGCTGCTGACTTTTCAGCCTTGCCTTTGCTAAGTTTCCAGCTGTGTAGAATCTCAGGAATGTGCCTGATTATTAGACTGAGCTACTCATGCATGCTTCACTATTTGAGCATCCAGTTTAATCTGTGTTCTGCTCAGTTTTAGAGGGCAGGACTCAGTTCTATACAAGCCCTTCTGAAGGAGGCCTGGGGCAGAATGTTTACTGGAGGCCCCTCCTTACCTCCGACTTCTCCCTACAGCTTGTGTGTTGGTTATCATTTCTTCTGTCAGGTAGGGAACACAGGGTATTTTTTCAAAAAAAGCTATTATTTGCCATCCCCCTTCACAGATTGCTGCCTTGTTGTGGCAAAGGGGCTTGAGTAATTCAGAGAAGCTATGGCCTATGCCATGAAGGGACACCCAAGATGAACAGGTCATAGTGGAGAGTTCC